CGTCACGAGCAACGCAGCCCGGAGACGCGTCTGGCCCTCTACGATCTGCAGACGAACTGCTACCATTTGCTGCAACAGCTGCTGGTCGCACTGCAGCGCAACGAGGAGGCCCTGGTGGCCGCCGAACGGTGCAAGGCTCGGGGCGGCGCCGATGCTGTGGGCAGTGAGAGCAACAAGGCGCCGCTGGCGGACAGCGAGGCCATCCAGGATACGGTGAACCGCGGACGGATGCCCGTGCTTTACTACAGTCTGGCCGGGGAGCAGCTGTTTGCCTGGCTGCTGCATCCCCAGACGGGAATTGTGCGCTTCCATTCCGCCCGCATCGATGCCAAGACTCTTCAGCTGCCACTGTCCCTCAGCGAGGAGGAGGAGCTGGAGCTGGAGGACGAGGACGATGAGGAGGAGGGGCGGGAGCAGCCGCAGGGCGATGGTCTGCTCGAGCGGTATGTGAACATGGTGCGGGATAATCTGGGCGTAAACTCGCAAAGTCTGCTGCACGAGGGCGACGGCAGCGGCTGGCGGGCCAGCACCGAGCAGCTTCTGGAGGATCTGCCCGGAGCAGGAGCCGGAGGAGGCGGCTTTCTGCGCATGGTCAGCCGCAATCAGCTGCTCAACTCATCCAACTACTCGTTGAGCTCGCTGTTCTCGCTGGGCTCCGTTGGGGGCTCGGTGGCCAGTCTGCAGGGCTCCACCCGCTCCGTGGGCAGCCGCAGTTCGCGTCGTGCGCCGCCTGTGCCCGCCTGGCGAGGACCCTCCTGCCTGCACACCCTCTACAACCTGCTGCTGGCCCCCTTCGACGACCTCCTGCCCTCGGCCAATCTCTCGCGCCAGGGCAGACGTGAGCTAATCCTCGTGCTGGACAGCTCTCTGTATCTGGTGCCCTTTGCCATCCTGAGGGCGGCCGGCGAGGACGGGGAGTATCTGTCGGAGCGCTGTGCCATTCTCACCGCTCCCTCGCTGCAGTCGCTGCGCAGTCGACCCAAGGCGCGGCGGGATCGGGCCCGCCCCCCCAAGGCTCTGGTGGTGGGAGGTCCCCGTGTACCCGGCAGTCTCGCCGAACGCTGGGGCTGGGCAGGCGCCGAGTCGCCGGCAGCGCTGCAAGAGGCCGCCATGGTGGCGGACATGCTTCAGGCCACCGCCCTGGCCGGCTCCAATGCCACCAAGGAGTCTGTTCTGGCAGAGCTGCCCTCCGCCGAATGCATACACTTTGCAGCGAATCTAAGCTGGCAACTGGGCGCCGTCGTCCTTAGTCCTGGCGATGTGGTCACCGCCGAGCAGCAGCAGCAGAAGGAGCCGCACGAGCCACAACTCTCGGACTTCACATTGGCCGCCGGAGAACTGCGACAGCTGCGCCTCAGTGCCCGTCTGGTGGTGCTCAGCTCTTACCACTCGGTGGAGCCCATCACGGGCGCCGGAGTGGCCCATCTGGCTGGCGGCTGGCTGATGGCCGGTGCGGGTGCCGTGCTCATATCGCTGTGGCCTGTGCCGGAGACGGCGGCCAAGATTCTGCTGCGTGCCTTCTACTCGGCTCTGTTGCAGGGCGCACGAGCTGCACGGTAAGAGATTTGTTTTTATTATTAGGGATATCAAGTTAATCCTCTCTCTCTCTCTCTCTGTCTCCTTCTCTTTGGCAGCGCCCTAGCGGAGGCCATGCAAACGGTGCAGCACACAAAACACTTTGCCCATCCGGCCAACTGGGCGGGATTCCTGCTGGTCGGCAGCAATGTGAGGCTGTCCAACAAAGTGGCGCTGGGGCATGCCCTGTGCGAGCTGTTGCGCACGCCAGAGCGTTGTCGGGATGCCCTGCGGGTGTGCCTGCATCTGGTGGAGAAGAGTCTGCAGCGGATCCATCGGGGTCAGAAGAATGCCATGTACACGACGCAGCAGAGCATTGAGAACAAGGCGGGTCCCGTGGCCGGCTGGAAGGATCTGCTGATGGCTGTCGGATTCCGCTTCGAGCCTGCCGCCAATGGCATACCCTCGAGCGTGTTCTTCCCGCAGGCAGATCCCGAGGAGCGTCTCTCCCAGTGCTCGGCCAGTCTGCAGGCACTGCTGGCTCTGACGCCCGCCACGCTGCAGGCGCTGGCCAAGCTGGTCCACGTGAACAGTGCCGAGCATGCGGACGACATCATTGCCGTCATCCGGAACATTCTGGCCCAGTTCCCGCCCGCCGTCGCATCCAGTGTGGCGGCAGCTGTGGGTGCCATCAAGCAGCAGGAGGAGGCCTGCTGCATTGAGATGCCGTTGAGTGTGCGCCTGTGGCGTGTGGCAGGCTGCCACGAGCTGCTCGCCTCCGTGGGCTTCGATCTGACCGAGGTGGGGGCAGACCAAGTGATCCTCCGAACGGGCAAGCAGGCGAATCGTCGCCACTGCCAGTTTGTTCTACAGGCACTTTTGGCCTTGTTTGGTGAGTTTCTACACAGTAATTCTTCTGGGGTAGTCCTCGTACTAAGCTGCTTATATTCCTCTCTGCCAGACACTCGCGAGGCACCCAAGAATCTGGGCATGGGCATGGGCATGGGCATGGACATGGATTCGGCGCAGAGCAGCAGTTGTGAATCGCTGGCTGAGACGGAAATGGATGCCATCACTCCGGTAAAGCCCACGGCCAGCAGCACGCCCTCTGTGAGCTCTGGCAAAGCGCCGCTGCCATTGCATCCGCGCAGTGCCTTCATCTCGTATGTGCGGCGTCGCGGGGAACCAGATGGCGGACGCACAGAGGTGACTGTAGGAGCTGGAGGCGGAGTTGGAGGTGGCTTGGATTCCAGCCTGGCCAACACCACCGACAGCGAGCATTCGCTGTCCGATGGCTATGCCACACAACCGGGCCTGGGACTGGCCAATTCGCGTCTCGGCTATGCCAGTATGCGTGCCCCTGTCCGGGTCTCACGGCCAGGCGGTGGCGGCGAGAGCGATGCCGCCTTTACACCCAGTCCACCTGTCACAGATCCCAGTCTGACGCTGGCCCTCGCCCACCAGACACGCATCAGGAGTCTCTACTCGCAGCCCACAACTGCGGCGGTGCCTGCATCCGCCGGAATGGTCGGAAGCAGCGTGAACAGCAGACGGCCGGACAGCTCCAGCTCAGCCAGCAGCACCACAGACTGGGAGGGATCCGGACATGCGACAGTGCTGCGACGCGGTGCCGGTGTTGCAATGCCACAGCAGCAGCCACCTTTGCCCCCGCCACGGCCGCCGGCCTATCATAATTTGGGTGTGGGCCTCGGGGGACGCAGCAAGCCCAAAATCAAGCTGGGCAGTGCCCAGAGTTCGCTGGCGGCACGGGTCAACAAGGAGCATGCCCTGTTCATGGATCGGCTGAGTGTGCGCACGGAGCTGAGTGCGCCCGGTGGCAATGCCATGGGAACTGGAGCAGCGGCCAGCCGGAAACCCTTGGCCCTACCCGAAGAGGAAGAGGTCTCCAGTGTGGTGTTCAATCCGGCGAGCCTGTACTTCTCCCAAACGGACACCGAACTGCTGCTGAGCGAGCCCAAGCCGGAGGAGATTCCGACGGCGGCCAAGACGAGCTCCAAGTGCCTGCAGGAGAGCATGATGAGGCACATGAACCGCGAGCTGACACCCAGCATCTCTGAGCTGTATCATGAGCGCAATCTGGGCCTGGGACTGGCCCCGCCGCTCTCCAAGCTGTTGCTCAGCCCCAACTATGAGGAGCAAGAGGGCAACGTCATGGGCGAGGGCTGTCCCCAGTCCTCTGCAGGCCTGAAAACACTAGTGGATGCGGTCAACGAACTGGAGCTGAGTGGCAGCTCTTCGGGGGCCACCATGCCCACTGTGGTAGGCGGAAGCAGCGAGGTGGAGGGCACATCCAATGCCATTACCGCCGTGGACCGTGCCACCTGCCCCATTTGCGGCGAGCATGCGGATGTCATCTGCCGCTGCAAGGCTGCCACCATTCAGAAGAAGAGCAGCCTCAAGCCCTGGCTGAGCAATGTCCCCGCCAGCAGTATGGTGCAGGCCAGCGAGCTAACCACAGCGGACATTCTGGAGAGACGCATGGAAATTCACACGGGCAACGCGGGGGCACCCTTTGCGGCAGAGCTGTGTCGTCGCGACGAGGGTGACGGCCGCTCCGTGGCGGACTCCCAATGCAGCAGCAACTACAAGCGAGTGCTGGCCAGCGCCTCGGTTGGGGCCATGGGTCTAGTGGATATCAGCAATGGCATTTCAGCGGAACCACAAAGCGCTCCTTCGGCGGCCACCTGCTCGGCTGCTCGTCTCGTCTAGATCATCTGCTTGATGCCTAGCTATATTTATTATTTATTATATTTATGGAATGCATTTAACCAAGCCACTGATTAAAAAATACTCAATTATTTAAACAATTGTGAAATAAGGTCATCCCCTAGGCTAAGAAATTGCATAGAATTAGGTAATTTAGCGAAAATATAAAATGTTATACGTAAACGAACGGAAACTGGAGTTTATTTGAAGCACGGGCTATACTCAGGACAGAAACTTGTAGTCTCCAATTTGTGCGCACTAAAAATGTAGCCTGCCCATGCCGAACAAGAAATATATCCTGCACTAAGGTCTCAGTTATCCGTCACAGATACGTTTTCTACTTCGAAGTCTCACAAATAAATTTGACAGGGAATTGTTCTAATTCTTTTTTTCTTAAATAATTCCTTTTTTATATTATCTGCAATTTGCTTTCGTTATCTTCCCATTTGTTCGGTTTTCAAGTCCATACAATTTATTATAAATGATGGCTTCCATTCGTTTGAGTTATGGGATTCTGGTGAAGCATACTTTTTCGTATTTACCGCTATTTTTGGGGGAAGTTTTAGCTATGTCTGCACGTGCTTGTGTGTGTGGTGGCAATAGTGAGAAAGTACACATTGTTGCAATGAAGATATTTTCTGGGATTTTGTAACTAATGTAACTAATTTTATTTTGTTTACTTAGTTTTTACAGGTTTCAATAATTTATTTTTTGTGTGTTTTTTTTTTATCAAGTTGTAAATGGATTTTTATGCCTTATAATTTGTATGCAAATATATAGCTGCATTTTGTGTGTTTGTGGGGAGGGGATTTTTGTATATATAAATATTTATGCCTGGATTTTTCACTTTACAATCTTAAATATTAACTACGCGAAATATGGTTGGTTTTCCCATGTGTGTGTGTGTGCCATTGAATATGCTGCAAGACAATTCTACAATAAACTTTAATTTAATTTAATGTATATATAACTACATTACATATAATAGCTACAATATATTTATATCCATGTGTATATTCAAAATGTGAAATAAAAAACGTTATTTAAAAATATGCATTCATTTTTTCGTTTAGTTTATAATTTATGCTCTCCTCTCTTGTCCTGTGCATCCTTCTATTCCTTTCTTATTATCGTGCCGCCATTCATTTTCATTTCCTTTGTTTGGCCTTATATTTAATATAAACCTTTTTTGTTTTTTTTTCTTCGTTTTTAAATATATATTTTTATGTATATAATGCATCCTTTTGCGTATCGTAAATTGTATAAATTACTAATATAAATTAAGCACACGATAAATTGCAGCTGCTTCAAATGCATCCATTATCCATCCATCTTGTCCTTCAGATACTATTTATTTTCTGTGCAGCAGCAACAGCATCAAATCATTCACATATGTATGTATAATACCCATAATTAATATTCCATTATTTATTATGCACTTTTTACAAAAACTGTTTGCCCCATTCTATATATAATACTCTCTAGTCATAGCAAAATAATAAATTAATGAGTAGCAATTAGCGGGTAAGCAAAGCTGGCTCTAGGCTAACACAAGTATAACACACTATGGGACTACAGCAATCGAAGAAGCATTCGATTCCGTTCGTCTTTAGCTAAGCAGTCAAAATATTAAGCAGCAATCATATGATGATCTGATCCATACATTAGATTAGTTAATTTGTGGCTGGAAGTACATTAAATTATACTCTGCGTAGTATCTATGGGAATTTGAGTGTACAAATGTACAAAAATGATAAATCCATTCGTCCCGAGAACCCGTTTGTACAATACACTCGAATATAAATATATATATATATATCGATTTTGATGTCTCCATCGGAAAAATCATTCTGTAAACTCTTCTTTGCCATTGACTCACTTCACTCTCCTTTAGTCCTTTACTTTTCCTATACTAATTTATGTACCTTGCCTCCTGCAGCAAGTATTTTGGTTGGATTTTTTTTTTGCGTTTGCTTTTGCTTAGTTATCTGATCAATTCGTGCCTATCCGTAAAGTTTCTTAGTCAAAGTGTTGACACATTCTTATTTTTAGCTTGAAGACCTCAATAAAAAGTTTGTGTGTGCCAAGTTTTTTGTTTGTTTTTTTTGTTGGTTGGTTTTTGTTCCATTGCCCTTATCAGTTGTTTTTTTTTTGTTTTGTCATCTTAAACGATATTTAACATCTTGTTGGTTTAGGTTTTAGAATTTAACACTATACACTATAAAGAGGATACTTAAAATATTGCGACCATCGTGTTTTGTTTTGTCTAGTTTAGTTTTTAGTTGTTTTTTCTTGTAGTTGATGATTTTGTTTTCTCTTTTGATTCTGTATGCCTTGGTCAGTAAGTGGTGTCTGGTGTCGTCGTCTCCTGGTGTACATGTGTGGGTGTTTTGGTTGTTGTTGTAGTCTTTCAAGATCCATTATCCGATGATCCCCATCAACGCAGCTGATTTCTATATAATACATAAATAAATAATACAGATTAAATTGGGTTTCAAGTGTGTTCTGGGTACATTCGCAGTGGGGGTAATGCAGGGGAGTACAGTGAATATGAATATGATGAAAATGTACTAACTTTTCACATAAAATTATGAGAGGTCATTGCGCAACTTAAAGTTCGCTTAGTTTCGTTTCTGGATGCTCGACTGATGCATGACCCATACGTCGTTTGTCTCTGCTATTGTTGTTGTTGTTGTTGTTGTCGAGGATGATGATATTTATGGGGAGTGTTTGTTTGTGGGGAAAACAAAATGTAAAACGTTTGAACACAAAAATCACACAAAGCATTTCCTCACGGCCACAGTGGTGCGATGGGCCAGGGGAGTATGTTCTTTGTTCAGTTGCTTGGTCTCTACAATTGCCGTCTGTCCACTTATCTGGGCCGTTGTCTGTGGGGATGATATAGAGAGAGGCGGTTTGATGATAAAACGCAAAACGGAAGCACAAACTCAAGATAATGTTTAACCAAAATGTTAAATGTCAATGAGGTGGGGGGTGGCCTGATTTGAATTTGAATGGGGATTCCGATTCCCATGCTGGGGGGCGGGAGGCTTTGACTCACCTAAAGTATTGATCGTGCAGCGATTGTCGCTGGAATTCGGCGGCCTGCAAATACTGTATATATGTAATTAATGAGTTAGGATATTAATTTTGGATTTGGGAAACCTGTAGTTGATCGGCATACGACATCCGCAGCAGGACATCCGAGTGCGGCTCCCTAGGTATAAGCATATTTGGGCGTGGATATTGGCCAACATTCGCTACAGTAAGTAAGAGCACGAAAATAAAGAGAATAAACATCAGTTATTGGTGTACTTATTGATGGTAACAGAGAAGGGGTTTTTTTTTTTCGTTTTTGGGGGAACCTCTTGAGGCTATACAAACTCACGTGGCAGTTGGAAACCGGCCTCCGGTGGTTGCGGCTGTGGATGCAAAGGCAAATGTAAATGAGTATGAGAGTGTGCATGATATTCTCTCGTCAATCGTATCTGAAAATTATTGAATATCGTAGAAAGTTTCAAAAGAGAAGAGCCAGTGCTGCATTTGTGGAATGCCAACAGTAGAAGATTGATTGGTGTTGTTGTTGTTTTTTTTATGTATTTTAATGCGGTTTTTTGTTTTGTTTTTGAGTTAGCGAAATGGCGGGTTAGATGGCGCGACTGATGGTTAGGCGGCGGCGCCTACCCCCGCAAAGTTAGAGAGGCAAGCATGGCATGGCAAAGAGTATGGTTAGCACAAAAAATGAACACAGCATGACACAGACAGTACTCGTACACGTGCTGGTGGGGAGGGTATGGGCTTTTGTTTTTGTTTTGATTGCAACTTGAAAGACTTATAGCATCGCTGCTTATGCGTGTGTGTGTGTGTGTGTGTGTGTGTGAGATAGCTGACAAAGTGGACAAACAGAATGATTCGATTCGGATTTGATTTGTGGTTGTTTGATTTTTGCGTTTTTGTGGTTCGTTCCAAATACGATTGATCTTGTGAATATGAATGGTATATAATAATAATAGTAGTAGTATAAAAAAGAAGTGTGTCCTACCATACGCACCATGTGCTCGCCCGGATCAAGGCCTACGTGATGCGGTGGCGGTATACCCAAACGTTCCCTCTCCATTTGCGATATCGCTGGATTCGCATAGAGTGGGAACTGTGAGGGATGTATGCCGCTGTTAAAAATGGATCGAAAAAAATACATATAATTAATATACAATATTTGACGATGATGATGATGATGATGATAACCAACCGTCTGTAGTACTCCATCCAGTGCGGATCGAGGCGGGATTGACTCGCCGCAGCGGCTTGTGCGTTCTTGATCTCCTCCAGTTCCCTGCAATAAGTCGAAATACACCGAATCAGCACGGAATTGGATGGGCAGGGGGGGCAGTCCCAGTAATGGGATATCAATGTGTGTAGGTGTGACAAGGTGGGTGCATCGGCAAATGATAATTAAACGTAAGTGTAAATTTTGACGGCTTTTGGGCTACCGTAAATCATAGAGAATTCTTAAAAAGCAGCGGTGTCTTTTTGGATGGCTTGGAGGGGTTGTGGTGCGGCGTTTGTTTTATCAGTGCGTTGCAGAACTTGTTTAAAATTCAGTTATAGAATAGCTAAAGCAAACGATGCTGTGAATTTAGGAGCAAGCCAGCAACAAGAAAACAATTATGCACACGACATGTATTTTGTTTTTGCCTTCGCCGTTGCTAGTTTAGATGCCATTCTCTGATCCAACATCAAATTACACATTTAATACAAGTTTTTAAATATATTCGCGGGAATTCTCTTTTGAAAAATTTGCTTGTGCGTCTCGAGTTGAGCATCATCAATTTTCTAAAGTTTTAAGTTGATTTTTCAGTTCTGTAACGCACTGTTTGTGTATCAATTTGTCTTGGATGAGAATTCCATTGGGAGGGATCGTGTTTTGGGTAGTATTTGTGGCGATGGAGTGGAGATGAAGGAGTTGGATGAATTGGGTTGATTGGGTGTTGGTTGGTGCATGATGGTGCAGTTGTGGGGAATCTTTCAGGCTTTTTTGTGGTACTGTACCTCTCTCTGTACATGGGGCCCATTGGATGATGATATGGCACCATCTGTTCAACAGGACTGAAATTGAATATTGAAATAATTACAATCAAGAATCAACGTGACTCAACGGACTCTCAAAACATAGAAAGAAAGAACAAATGGGGGAAGGAAAATAGGGGGTAATAATAACTGGACAGAATCCTAACACCAGAGGCTGAAGAAGGAAGAAGAATAGAAGAGTCGCTCGCTACATCCAGCGGCAGGCACTCACCTGAAGGCGACATGGGGGCGTGCGTATTCGGAGAGCTGCCGCAGTGCTGGCGTATCCGCATATGGGGGCTTCAGTTCCGCCTTCATTTTGGCCTGCTGTGCCGCCTGCTGGGCGGCTGCTGCCTGCTGTTGTTGCTGCTGCTGTTGCTGTTGTTGCTGCTGCTGTGGGTAGGCAAAGAAATGAATTTATTATTTGGATACTCTAGTTGCCCCACTCTGCTCGCTGCTCTCTCCACTCACCTGCCGCCGTTCGCGTTCCTTCTCTGCCAGCTTGCGATCGCGTTCCTCCCGCTTGCGTGCTAGCTTCGAGTCGGCCACCGGCTTGAATATCAAATCCGTTCTCGTGCAGGAATTGTAATCTCCGCGATCGATGTGCCGCACAAATCTGTCAAGGAATTATGAAAGGATTAAAGATCGTTTCCCCTCGATACTCCTGTCCTGTCTCCGGGATACTCACATGGCAGACTGCGAGCGATGGCATTCGGTGTCGTCCGGCTTGGCCTCGGGACTGGGACCACGTTGTATATTGTGCGTGGGACTGGGTATCTCTGGCTCCGGATCCGGCTCAATGTCAATGGGCACTGCAAGGAGAGGGCAAAGAAATGCTGTAGAGACGGACACCTTGCTTAACCACTTTCCACTCTTACATGGCTCCGTCGGATGATGGCCTCCGCCCATGCCCGCCGAATTGGCCGAGTGGGCGTGTGCCCGCAGGGCATCCATGTGGGAGGTGGGCTTCATGCCGTGCGGCTGACCATCTTGCGGGGCAAAGGGCGAACCGTGCGGCGGACCAGGCGGATAGCCGGCCATATGGGAGCCCGGATAGGCACCTGGCGGCAGGCCAGTTGGCGTTCCAGGGCCACCCATGCCGACTGGCACACCCGGTCCCCCCGGACCCTGGGGCGTCTTTGGCGTCGGCGGCTTGTTGGGCGGTGGACCGCCCTGCTGCTGCTGGGGCGGACCCTTCATCTGTTGCTGCTGCTGCTGCTGCTGCTGTTGTTGTTGCTGCTGCTGCTGCTGGGCTGCTGCTGCGGCCGCCGCTTGGTGGTGCTGCTTCTCGGCTGCATCTCTTGCCGCAGCTGCGGCTGCTGCATTCTGTTCGTCCTGGCGCTGCTGCTGCTGCTGCGGCGGACCCTGGAGGCCGGCATGGTGTGCGGCCATCACGGCGGCAGGATCCAGCGGTCCGCCCGGTGGTGGGGGCTTCATGTAGGCCGGGAATCCAGGCCCGTACGGCGCATAGCCGTAGGGCGAGTTGAAGGGATGATGATGCGGCGAGTAGAAGACCGACGGATGCAGCAGCGGATGCGGGTACGGCGACTGGCCGGGATGCACACCGATCTGTGGAATGCCTCCACCCGGCGCAATCAGAGGCAATGGCAGCGGCATCTGCGGATGCCGTATGACCGGCGGCGAGGCTCCCGGTCGCAGATGCGGCGGCGGTGATGTTCCCAGCCCCCTTTGGCCCGGCTGCGGGGCATACATCTTGCTCAGCGGACTGGCCATCAGTCCCGAGGCATTCGACACGGGTGGCGGCGTCATATGCGGCGACTGCTGTCGCAGCAGCGCATGGCGATCGCGCTCGGCCACGGCCGCCGCTGCCGCCGACAAAGCCGAGGATGAGGGATGATGGCTAAGCGGCGACTGGGGCACCGGATGCAGTGGACTCTGGCGACTCAGGCTGCTGACGCTGCTGGCTGGTGAGGCTGCTCGATGGGCAGCTGCTGCCGCTGCTGCCGCCGCCGCTGCCGAGGAGTTGTTGACGCCACCGCCAGGCGTGCTGCTGCTGCTGCCGCCAGGACCGGCTGGTGCGGCTCCTCCACTCGAGATCTGAACGCTGGGACTGGCACGACTGAAGGCCGACGACGGCACCGTGCTGGTGGTGAGGGCCATGCTGCTTGACGTCATCGAGGCCACCGAATGGGGCGTATTCGGTGCCGATGAGGCGTGCGAGTGGGGCATATGGCTGGGCGGGGTGCGACGACTGAGCGCGGACTCGGGCAGTCCCAAGCCTCCGGGACCCGCCAGCAGTGCGATGGGTCCACCGCCTGGCCCCAGTCCGGCTATCGAATGCGACAGCAGATGGTGGCCGGGATGGGCCAGAGCCGCATGCGCCGGATGACCCGGCGGCAGATGCGCGAGATGCGGATGTATGGGCATCGGATGGCCAATGAGTCCCGGCGGCGGATGTCCATTCCCCGCCAGTCCTGGCAGCGGCGAGGTGCGATGCGTGTGCGGGGATTGGTGCGGGTTGCCGTGACCTCCCCCAGACCCCGCCATCGTTGTCGATGGCTGCGATGTGGGCGGCTGCTCCCGCGACTGGGGATCGTGCAGACTGCGTGGCGGATGCTGGGCTGGCGAGGGAGTGCGCACTGTGCCCGCAGGACCGCCGGGCTGCTGCTGTTGCTGCTGCTGCTGTTGGGGCGCGTGCGAGGGTGGCAGTCCGTGGCCGTGTTGCGGATGTCCTTGCAGGGACATGCCCATGGGCGCGTGCGGATGCATGCTGGGCGGCATGTCGTGCGGCCGATGGAGCACCTGCTGCAGATGATGCGGATGCATGTGGGGATGCATATGCGAGGGCGCCATCGTCGACAGCGTGGGTGGTATACCGATCGAGCTGGGCGGCATCGAGGAGGCCACCGACATCTGCGAATGCTGACCCGGATGCAGTCCCGGATGCATGCCCGGCGGACCACTCGACGACTGCTGCTGGTGCAGGGATGTGGGCGGTGGCGGTGGTTGGGGTCCACTGCCGCCCCCACCCGGCGGCAGGCCGTGGATAAGATTTTGGGGATGCATCCCTGGCGGCAGGCCGCCGCCGGCGGGTGAAGGCATGTGAGGCGAGGGATGCGGCGACTGGAACTGCTGCGGCTGCGGCGCCATCGACGAGGGCTGCGAATTGCTGTTGCTGCCCTGGCTGTCCTGACCCGGCGTCGACCGCGAGGAGGCGTCTATGGGGCTCTCCGGTGGCGGCCCGTACGGCGAGGACTTTATCAGATTCTCGCCGTACGGCTTCACGTCCACGGGTGGGCCTCCAGCGGAGCCGACGGGTGGCATCGGATACTTGAGATCCTGCGGCTGGGGCGGCCCGTATTTGCCTGCCAGCGGATCTCCGTACTTGTGCATCATTCCCGGCTCGAAGGGCCGTCCCAATGGCGGCGTCTGCACATCGTGCTGATAGTGCGGCTTGGGCATGGCTATGCCCGGCGGTGGCGTCGCCCCCGGTGGCACCTGATGGGCTGGCTGCTGCTGCGACTGCTGCTGCTGTTGTTGTTGCTCCTGGGACGTGGGCGGTGGTCCGTACTTGTGGGCCACATCTAGCTGCGCGGCCATGTTGTGCGGCAGATGGCCAAAGCCCGACTTGACGTCGGGTATCTTGAGGGAGTCCTGGTAGCCCTGCTTCGATGGCGGCTGGTGGGCAGCGGACAGCTCCACCGGATACTTGCCCGGCTGCTCAATCATGTACTTCATGTCGTACTTGCCAGCCGCGGCCGCGGCGGCGGCAGCAGCGGCTGCTGCAGCGGCCACCGCCTGCATCTCCTGGCTGTACTTGAGTGCGTCCAGCGGCGGTGGCGGCGGATACTTGAGATCCTGCGGCGTGAATTTCATCTCCATTTCGGGCGGGTACTTTTGCGGCGTGTTGGGTCCGCCAGGAGGAGGCCCACCATTGCCACCCACTCCAGCCGGATCGCTGTGCAGCTGCGGCGGCTGTGGCGGCTGCTGCTGCTGTTGTTGCTGCTGCTGCTGCTGCTGTTGTCCTCCGGGTGGGCCGTACTTCAGCTGGCCATCGATCAGATAGCTGGCGGGTGGTGGCTGCAACGGTTGCTGGCCGTGTGGCAGATGCGACAGGTGCAGCGGCTCACCCATTGGCGGCTGCCCACTCTCGACGCCGGCCATCAAATGGGAATGCATGGATGTGGGCGGCGCACCAGGCAACGTGGGCGGCAGCCCTCCGGCGTTGTGCTTCAACGAGTCCTCGTTCTTGATCTCAATCTTCACCTTGAGGTCCTGCGGCTCGTTGCTGTTCTGATTGCAGGTGGCATCCATCGAGTCGTCCATGGGCTCCTTCTTGATATACACCGCCTCCGTGGGCGGACATGACGCTGGTGGCGGCTGAATGGATATCGGATTCAGCTGCTGCTGCTGCTGCGGCGTCTGCTGCTGTTGGGGCGAGACCTCCTGCTTGATGGTGGCCAGCTTCTTGAGCAGATCGGGATCGCTATCGCAGGTCTCCATCTTCTCGATGGCCTCCTTGCGCTCCACGGAGGCATTCAGCGCCTCCACGGTGGCAATGGTGGGCACCTTCATGGTGAGAGGCGCTGCCACAGGATTAACCGGCGGCACACCACCGCCGTCCTGCTGGATCGTGCTGGCAGCGGAGTCCTTAAGCAGCTGGAGCCCATCCACGCTGTTTGGCGCTTGGATGTTCGTTTCCTCGTCCATGTTCTTGATGGAGAGCGCCTCCTTGCTGCCATCCTCCGAGGCGATCTCTGCCTTGATGGACTTCTCCTCCGTTTTGGGCTCCAGATGGCCCAGGCCCCCACCATCGATGGTGGCCATCTCGCGCTCCTCCTTGCAGTTGAGCAGCAACTCCTTGCTGTCCTTGGTGGACTGCTGTTCGGCGGTGGTCGTCGTGTCCGTGGTATTCGACTCGCCATCGTCCAGCACCGAGTCCGGCCTGCTGTCCGAGTTCATGCTCTCCACGGGACTGTCGGCCCGCTGCTGCTGCTGCTGCTGCTTCCGCTTCTCCTTGAGGCTGCTGCTGCTGTTGTTCTCCTCCGTTGGCGCTCCCGTTCCGGCACTGGCCGCCTGCTGGTCGTTCGCCTGCTCCTGTTCGGTGCGCTTCTTCTTGTTGGGCGTATCCTGTTTGCCGCCCTTGCGCTTGGTGGCCGAACTCTCGGCCACAGCCTTGGTGGGGGTCTTGGGACTGTCCACCGAGGAGGCTCCACCGGCGGCCGCATCGGGCGTCTCGGAGCCTCGCTTGGGCCGCTTGCCATTGGCCACAGCGTTGTTGGTGTTGGACTGATCCTTGCTGGAGCTGTTGGTGGCCGTGGCGCCTGTAGCAGCGTTTCCGCCTATCGCAGAGCTGCCACCGACGGAGGCACCACCACCACCACCGCCACTGCCACCTCCGCTATTGCTGGCCGTGCTGCTGCTGCTGCTGCTGTTGGTTGTGTTGCTGCCGCTGCTGCTGCTGTTGTTATTGTTGTTGTTGTTGTTGTTATTCTGTTGTTTATTGCGCGTCCTCATCCTAGAGGGTGATTCATCCCTTTTGTTGGTCAGACTGGAATCACTGTCACACTCGCTGGCGTCGTCCTCGGTGAGAGAGCTGTTCTCCTCCTTGGAGACAGCGGGCGATGAGCGACTCTGATGAGCCGTCTCTGACGCTGACCCCGACCCCGTCGCCGTCGCCGCCGTCGTCGCAGTTTGTGGTTCCGGTGTGTCCTCCTTCTTGGGAGGTGTATTATTATTTGCGCGCGTGACACGATTGCGTCGCAAGGCGCTCTGTCTGCGTCGCCTATGTGGGCGATTGTTGTTGGCGCCGGGCGTCTTCTTCCACAGATAGTAGAATTCGACCAGTTCGGGTGTGTCCTTGTGCGGCAGCAGATCCTTGTGGATCCTAAAGAAATTCTTGCCAAATTGTCGCAGACCCTTGATGAACTTTTTCGTTTCGTCCTCGGTCCACTTCTTGTCGATGCCCTTCGAAACGGGGCACTTAACTAGTGCTTGTAGAGCTTTGCCTGGATCGTAGCCAGAATCGTGCAGCTATACAGAAGATACAGAGATTATCAGCTATGTAAGTGGATGGGCTGATGGGATGGGATGGGATGGGATGGATGGATGAAGTGTACTCACCACGTCGAGTGCGTTAATTGTTGTGTCGTCGCGACTGGCAGCCAAACAACCGTCTTCTAGTCCGCCATCACACATTCCTTGAAATGCGGCCATCGAGCGGGCAGCACGCAAGAACATTAACAAATCGCCATCGGCCACAACGCCTGGACTCCATCTTGATTCCTCTAGTTCACGTTCATCGGTTTCCTTGTCGATGGGGAAGCTTGAGATTGGATTATAATCGGGCAGTTTTGCCTTCAGTCGTCATAGGAGACAAACAAAAATGTTTTGGATTAGTTTAAAATGACTCCAAAGGCGAGAGAGCAAAGCAAACTCCATCGAGCGACCGACCGACCGACCCATCACAGGACTAGGTGGTGCGCTCAATTAAGTTTTTCTTTTTGTTGTATTTTGTTGTTAGTCACACACACGCACACACATCTCCAATCACAATCACAAAAACACAATCCACACCACGCCACAAGACAACACCTGAAGGGCTCTGAGGGGTGGGGGGGTGGAATAGAACCCGCCGATATACGTATTACACGTACACGATGATACAGAAATTCTTAGGACTAATGCATGAATATGTATGAATAATGTATAATGTGTGCTACGGATTTCATTCGGATACTGGGGATTTTGGAAGCGGGAGCGGGAATGGGAAGCGGGACAGAGGGGATCTGGGATTTGGAATCTGTGGTTTCTTTTTTTTTTTTTTGGTGGTTCAACTTTTACCAATTAGGAAACTCGAACTATGAAGAGAGCCAATTGCATCGAAAGAACTTTAGTTGCAAAATTATTTACAAGAAGATTATTTACAAGAGAGAAGAGAGAGTAACGGCAGGAAATATATTATTAAAGTAAATTGCTCTTCGTGTAGCCTTTAATCGAAGGGAAGGGACAGTATTTAAATGATTAAAGAAACGAGAAAGTTAAAGGATTAACTGGGCAGTAGTGAGAACTTTCAGAAGCTCCTGAAAGAGTTTGGTAGTCTCTCACTTGTTGTTATACCCTCCTTGGAATGAAAATTATACCCTCTTATGAGGGTTAAATTTTTTAGCATTTTTTTTATACTATTCCTTATCAGAATTCTTTGCTAATCTTTGCTTCATTTTATGAGTTTTATAGCCCCAATAAAAACTGCTTGGGAAATGCAATTTATTGAAGTGGTATTACTACTTCCCGTACTTCCTTCCCTTCCAAGGACTACAACCATAAAGCAATTTGTGAAATATAGTTTGAACGTTGAGAAATTCATTGAAATTCAGAAGAAAGAACAAAGGAATATAAATTACAATTTTTGCAATCAACAAAAAAATAAAAAAGGTTTCTCTCTACTTTATTTATTTGTTCTTGTTGGTTCTTTTTTGTGTCTCTCTTTGGCATAATTGTTGAATTTTGTAGTTCTTTGTTGTTGTTTTTTTTTTAAACTTTTTTTTTGTTGTTACCGTGAGCTGAATTTCTGATTTGTGAGAGTTATGTACGTACATAGACATCGTTTACCTGGTGGCCGGGACCCACTCGAATTTCTCCTTGAGTGGAGGCCGCCATCACCCTTTAAAAACACGCTTCCGGTCCAGTGTTAAGCCTTTTTATGCCCTCTACGATATGAAAATTCAACTGCAAAAAACACAGAGAAAATTCATAAAAATCGGATCGCATCGAATCGGTGGGGAGGTGAATGGGGTGGGTGCAAAGAGGGGGTGAGTGGGAGGAGAGTACCAGTAGTATTTTTCAATAAAGCGATGAAGTTCACATCAACATGCATAAATAAATAATCCATAAAAATAATGCCATGTAATGTGCGAACGATGGAGTATCCCAAAGAGAGAGAGAGAGAGAGAAGGGTGAGTGGAACTGGGGGCCACGGCTGACGGGGTCTGGAAATTAGGGGTTTACGCTGTCGGACGATTGAGTCCCCTCTGCCACTTAATCGCTTGCATATGTTAATGCGCCTGCCTCGAAGAGGGGAGGGGGGGACAGGGGAGGGACTGACTGCAGAATGTCAGACTGGCTGACAGACGTATGGTATGCTTTGCTTTGGTTTGTTCATTCACTCATTTTGTGCCGCTTTTATACCCTTTCAGAGGGTGCATATACCATTGGACAGATGTTTGTAACATCTCCTCGTCATTTTGATAGGTTCATATTTTGAGAATAGTTGTTACTTAGCCTCCCAGAATAGCTACCATATTTAAATTTTGGGTTAAAATTAATGTTTTTATGGGAAGAGACGATATTTCTGGTAATTTTTTAATATGTAAAATCTGTATTCATCTATTTAGAAGCAGATTAAAGGGTATTTGAGATTCGTTGCCATTTGGTTATCTCGCTTTCGCGTTTTTTTTTTTCAGCCTTGCTTTGGTTTCTTTTCTTCTTTTTGTTGTTGTTGCTTCCTCTTGTCCGGGTCTGGGGTCTGCCTCTCAAGTGTGCGTGCAGCTGTAAACAGATTTTCCGCTCAAGTAACTTCGCGAATAACTGTAACGAGGAGCCAACGGCTAAGTAAGCATCCTCTCATGGGCCCACTCCTCACTCATCTCATCTCGTCCCACAACAACGACCCCATCCCATCCCACCCCACCCCAACCCAGCACAGTGTGGAATTATCATTAAATTTGCTTATGAATCAATATCATGGCTAATGCACAGTGACAGAGAGAGAGAAACGGAGAGTGAGAGGGAAACAGACACACAGTGCGTTCACGTCTCATCAGGAATGCCGACGGTGTTGCGGTTGTGTGGCAGCGGCACACAAATTATGGCAATTAAAATCAATTAATTAAATGCAGCGACAGCGACAGAGCGACCGCGGTGGCAGTGCCAGCGCGCGATGACTGCAAAAAAAAAGGTATACATACATATATGTATGTAAGAGCGTGTATGTGTGCATTGTCGACAGATTTACACTCAATAAGGCACGACACGCCGCCTAAATGACTGACGACAGCGGGGCTAGGGAGAGAGAAGGAGCGGCAACGGGTCCGCACAACGATCCCGACGGAGGCGGACCGAAAGCGCAGGCCAGGAACGCACACACGACTAGCCCTGGGGTTGCACAGTGGTATCGGTAGCACTTTGGTAACCCCCCCAAGTCAAACACTCGTATGAAATATTCATTACATTTCATGGCGGGTGGGATGAATATTTCATCCCTCTTTTGTTTGACTAACCCCGCAATATGTGCTGAAGAATGTTACGTTACCCTAATACATGGTAAATAAATGCTTTCCTAAAGTGAATTTGCTTAAATATTCATGGATTACTTTTAACGATCCATTGGTAAAACTGTTTTCAGTATCAATGGATCATCAATTTATCATTTATCATTTTATATTTACTATTTATTCTGCCAAGAAAGTTCTCGCTACGATATTATAACCGCATGTCATTACTTTGGCATATCCATTATCGAAAGTGTTCCCAAATTAATTAGCTTTAATCACCATTTTGTACCACTGTGCAACGAACGGTCGTCTGCGTTTTGGGGCCGACACTTATCAACGACATCAGCAGCCACACCAGGTTGGCAGCTCCTCTGGCCTGGCCTGGCCTGGCCTGGCCTGGCCTGTTCTGTGCCCTGCTTGGCCTGGGTCTTGCCGTTTTGGGTCTGACTGCTTGGCTGGTTACTGCTTGCTTGCTGGTTTAACTGGCAGCACAAAACTTTTTTATGAGGGAGTCGTGAGTGGAAAAATTTCGTATAAACACAAACAGAAGGTGGCGGCGCAGGGCACGCGACTGAAACTCCCGCTGAATCCCTCTACACTACCCACCCCACCCCATTCCCCACCACCTGCCGGGCGACAGTGGGGGCTGACTGGCTCTGGCTTCTGCCTCTGGGCCCCTGGCGCTTGGGGAAAAATTGTGTAATAACTGCAAGCAGTGTGCTAAGCTCTTCTGTTCTCCCGCTGGCACTCTGAGCTCTGTCTTTGGGTCTCTGTTCTGCACTGGCTCTGGGCCCTGGATGTGGTAGCTTTGGGGGCAGGAAGCGGTGTGTCGGCGGGGTCTGTTATAAAACAAATGTACTACAAAAAGCGACGTTGTAAACGCACAAAGCCATAAAATCTGAAAAAGACAAAACGAAAGGCTCGAACAGAGCCACATTTTGCCACCACCGAAAAGTGCCGTTCTCCGGCTCTTCCGCCCTCCCTTCCACACCCTTACCATGCCCTAAAGGACCACAAATTATGGCACACTGCGAGAAAGGGAGAGAGGGCACACACTGACAAGGAGAGCCACACTGAGAGGCCACCAGGCAGCACCACCAGTGAGCAGGAGCAGGATGGCGAGCACGAAAAGAGAGCATGAGCAGTCTGTACATTGACTACGTGACGTTTTCGAGCACTCTGTGAGTCAGCAGCCCAGCCAGCTTGCTGTTGTTGCTCCGGCTTTGGTTCTTCCTCTTTTTGGTTTTCTCTTCCTCCTGCTATTCTTCATCCACGGACGACGGACGACAGGGCTGACCTGCGTGCAAATTTAAGGCCAATAATGCTGTCAATTTCAACTGGCGTGTCCGTCTGTCTCTCAATTAATGTCATCGCGTATTATAAAGTTCCATCAGATTAACAACTCGTTTCTCTTCCTCCACTGAATGGCCTCTGTGCAGAGCTGTGCTGTGCTGGCTGTGCGGTGGCCTGCCTGCCGTGGCAAATTGTTTTCTAAACAGCCCATAAACATGAACGAAAACAAAGCGAGAAATGTAAATGAAAATAAAAACTTGGAGAGCAGGCAGCGAGCAACAACAACAGCGTGGCAACGCTGTCGACATGGGCCACAGAAAGAGGAAATTCAATAAACAATTTGTAGCATGAGTAGCGGAAAATTGTGTGTACGCACGCGGCTAAACGGACGCGAGTGAATGAAAAAAAGAGGGGGAGGTACGGCAGACAAGCAGGCAGGGGAGGAGTAGAAAAGCAAAGTCTATTAACTAGAAGGTAAGGCAGTCTCAGAGACTGGCAGCAACTGAATACGATTAAACTGGACATATCCCATGTCCGTATTCCGCGAAACAACCTAATTCACTTTATACTTTTATGACTGGCCCACCTTCCATTGAATATACCTTGAGCCGGAGCTTGCCTCTTGCTATGCGTGTGTATGCTTGTCTCGCTCCCTCTTGCTCTCTTTTACAGTATTCCTTGGTGTGTGTGTGCGATTGCCGAGCGTAATTTTGAAATGGAAAAGCTGTCGACTGCTGGCTGTCGGCTAACTGGCTTTCCAGCTCTCCTTTGCTTTAGCTGTAGCTTGTTTTTCTCTCTCTCTCTCTGCAATCATCGCTTGCCAATAAGCTGACTAATTGACTGACAAATAGGCAGCAAGCAGCAGCAACAGCAACAACTACGAAAGGGAGCGCGCTGCGTTAATAAGAGCAGCCAGCAGACATCAGGCAGTGGCAGTAGTAGTAGTAGGCAGGGAGACAGACAACTTAAAATTCCACTGCCGCCAGATGAATGCGCCGTAACTGTACATTAAGGGGGGCCCATAAACTTGAGAGTTTATCTGCAGCCCCACCACCACCACCACCACCCACATCCGCGCGGCGAGAGATTATTAGGTTAGTCCCCGGCTGATGGAGAAATTTAAGTGATATAGCAGTAAATAAATTAGTCGACCCACCGACCGACCATAAGAAAGGAAGGGTATTCATTTAGGGGTCTATATTTCTTAGGGGTTGTTTACCGCAAACTCAACATTGGTTCATTCGTTGTAAGCTTGCTCAATTGAGTGGAACTTTGCAAGTAGAACTACTCAACTGACTCCAATTGGCCCACAGTTCTATTATTGATCTTTGTATTGATATTTTATTCAATTGCTATTTCATTACGGAATAAATAAACTGCTTTGGCAGTAACTGAACTAGAAACAATTTAAATACACAAAAAAAAAAATAACCGAACTAGACAGCAATGCAACTATAAAATTACACATAAAATTCGAACAAAGGACTCAAATAACTTCATAATTACCTACGAGGAACAATTGGATTCCTTTTTGTTCGTTGTGGTTCCTTTCAATTGTGTTTATTCTATGGAAAATCTGTTGGCTGGTTCACATATGTATGTAACTCAACGCACTAAAATAGAACTCGGTCAACTCTGACGAATTATGAAATAAAATGGCTCTGAAATTGCTCTTCTATTTCTGCTTGTGGTTGGTTTTTAGCCTCGCTGTAAATCAAGCAAACAATTGATTGTCTGGTTCATCAGACAACGGAACGGAACCACTGAAATACACCCGAAAAACCCGAACCAAAGTGCCCATCACTAACGCATTCCCCAGGGCAAACCAACAACAACCAACAAAAAGCTGGTCTATTAAGCCGTGCCGAGAGGAGTCCATTTAATTACCAAGTCGAACCGAGCCACACACACACAAAAGTTATCATGCAGCATGGCCAATTGAGTTCGTCATAGGCATTTGTCCGGTCCGTCTGGGGGCAAAAGGCACTCCACTCTCCATACCATACCCCATGGCATGGCATGGCATACCTCTCGGTAACGGTGCCTGCATCTGTCTATTTGAAGGGTTCGTGTCAAGTACGGAAATCCCATTAAATGTTGGGTTGGTAGGCACTTTGCCGAGCCATGTCCATACGTTCGTATATGTGTACGAGTATGTACATATAACCGTACGTATACGTCGGGTATACTATGTACATATGTACGTGCTAGTTCGTGTTGTGAAAGCCAAATTTTCACAAGTCAAAACAGAGGTTGCAGAAGGGGCAAAGAAGCAAACAAAGGCTAGTAAAGTAGAGGGGCAAACTGCTAGAGATAGAGATAGGGAGAAAATATAGAGAGAGAGAGAGAGAGAGACACTCGACTGGCTGTGGCCGTTTAACCAAAAAGTCATAAAACAAATTTCTCTTTTCTTTTGGCCAGTAGAGCCCCCAGTATCCCGAGTAATGGAATTGTGTGTGCTTCTGTTCAGAAATTTTTCGACTGCTTGCTCGGTCGGTCGGTCGTTCGGTCGTTCGGTTCCAGTTCTACATATACTACTCGTAGTAGGTCTGGACAGGCGGCATCCCAGCTTACAGTTGTTATGCCCATTACTCAACATCAACAAGAACATTATGCCACCGCAGTGGCACTCACGATGCTCCTCCAGCTTCTCCGTTGGCCACCCGCCCCCCCCTCACATCACATTCCTATTCATGCTCCAATCTCTGCCAGACACACAGACACAGACGGCACACATACTGATACAACTCTACATGCTTTTCTTCATTCAACCCAAACGATTGAGCATCTATTCAAGCAGCGTCGCCGTCGTCGGTCGTCGTCGCCGTCGGCAATGATGATGATGATGACGAGACGACGACGACGACGACGAGTCCATAGTATAATCCTATAGAGTGAGGCATTAATGTCTGTTCGCGGTTTCTTCCCCTCGTATTGTCAAACAAAATACGGGTACTGCAACAAAATGTTCAACTTTCCCAAGAGTGCTTTCTGGCAAGGCCACACCTTTTATAAATACACCTTGGACGGCGAGTCAACGTTCCAAAAGCCAAATAAACGACCCACAACGCTGGCCCCCATACCGCACCCAACCACACCACGTTCCCCCACCCTTTAGCCAAGCGCTAACCTGTGCGCATCCATTGGCCCGATCCGAACCGATCCGAACGGGGGTCGTCTGTCGTGTCTGCTGTCGGCTTCGTTTCATACGATTTGTTGGATTTGCTCATGAAGTTGTTAAACAGATTGTCGGTGTAGATACCTTCATCATTTTGCACGCCGTCGCCTCTCCTCTGCCCATTGCTCGCTCTGGCTTCCCGTTACCCACCGCCAGCAGCCACTCAACTGTCTGTCTTTCCGTCCCCCTCTCGCAGCAGCAGTAGTCCCGGTCCCAGTGGCAGTGCCAGTGCCAGTACCAGACCCAAGTCCCATCCAGCCAATTCCTCTTCTATGGCCTGTGTGTGTGTCTGTCTATCTGCCTGTCTCCGACTCTCTGTGTGTGTGTGTGTGCTTGTGCGATTAGTTTTATGTAATTTTATCGAGTATTTTAAGGATTTTGCGGCTTATCCGCGCTTCATTTGGAAATTGTTTCGTGTTACTTATGTGCCGAGGATGTGTTGTCGTCTGAAGGGGCACATTAGGGGTAGGGTACCATGTGTGTCTGGGGCTCGTTTTTTTTTTTTTCAACATTCTTTTCTTTTCTGTAGCCTGTTGTTATTTCATGTCCTTATTGTTGTCCCTTTTCATCTAGTGTTTATGGAACTGTCTTTATTTGTTTGTGCGAGTGTTTAAATGAGCTCTTTGCATGTGAAACTGTTGTTGCGCGGGCCTCTGCTTCCTCGCTCGTTCTCTTATCCTTCCGCCATTACCCTCTCCTTAATCGAATTACAGCCAAGGCCAAAGATTTATGGCTCCATTTAACACGCTCTTACATTATATTCTCACCCATTCTGGGCCCGGCACGGCTCATTGATTTAACACTGATTAACAAGAGCTTAAATTCTTTTTTTTTTTTTGTACATTATAAATATAGAGAAAATAAATATTAAAAGGCTGACAACAGACAGCCCCACAAATATCTCGCTTGGCTCTTTGTGCATATATATTTTAATAAGCACTTTGTGTGTGCTAATTATCTTATCGCTAAATGGAGTTAACACGTAGCAGCGAACGAGTAACTGGGATTTTTTTTTTTAGTCCAGTGTTTGCCCAGAGGTGATAGCGTGAGAGGTCTCCTTAATTAACTGGGTCTAGAGTATATAAAGAAAGGTTTAGTTTTCTTGCGTCTACATATGACATTCACCCGAACTGTACTGTACTGAATCTTTAGTAAATACTTCATAATTACTGACTAAACTGTTTCGTTAATAAACATAAAACAATCTACAAACAGCTGATGTCAAGGTAATTCACATCTATTACCTTTTTAAGGAGTGTTTTATCAGTGTTTACCCACCCCCTTATCTACTATTATTCCACGCGAAATGTGTCTATAAAACTACTGTGTCACGCGGCCCACTCACGCACTCATCACTGTGAGTAGAGTTGAGCTGGTTCACACTTCTATGGGGCTCAGCTCAGCCTCAGATCAAGCCGCTTAGCAACTCAGTACAGAAATGCTAATTAATTCTCTGATGTAATGGAGAACGGAAGGAAGAGGAAAGAGAACGCCTTGCCACCACAACCCCACTGCAAGGTGTGCTAGAGATGGGAGGGTTGGAGGGCAGGGCAAACGGTTTCGTTGATTTCTAATCGACATCAATAAATCGACACTCGAGTCGAGTGGGACGGACATTTCAATCAGATAAGCAGCATTTATAAATTAAAAGCGCAGCCGAGCAGATTAATAAAAGTTAAACTTTAACGGCACATTATAAATAAGCCAAATGACTAATAATAAACTATGAAAGCGCGCACAAAAACCCCGACATCAAAGGCTATCCAACAACTGTGTAACACGAAAAATACTTTTCAAAACAAAACCAAAAAACCAATAAAAAGCAAAACCGAACCGAATCGAGGCTACCCATCCATTGGCCTCATTGGTGGAGGAGCGAGGGAAGGGAAGGCAGACCGCAGGGGAAACACTCATTTTTCAACACCATTTTTATGTATTTTGTTGTTGTATTGTTTCCCTGTTTCCATTCCACTAATGCCCCAAAGCTGGTTTCGCTTTTTTCGCTTTTTGTATTAAATGCATTATTAGCACGTTATTTATTAATTAAACACTTCAGCTTTTGTTGTATGCGTCTCTAATCAGGTGGCCTCGGCTGTGACTCTCTTTGCACTTCTCTGCCTCTGCACCATTCCACTCTTTCTACACGCACGTTTGAAGGGCGGGGGTAGAGATAAGAAATGGAAATGGGCGGTTCGGAGCGGGGAGATAAGCGTTGCAAATTGTTAGGGTATTTCCTCGAAATTGATCTAAATGTGCCTTAAGGGTGGGTACACTGGGGTACTGGTTCGGATTTCGGGGAAAGCAGGTGGAAGGAGATAATGGTTAGAGTTCATAAGAACGAGAGTCGGTGGGATTTTCGCGTAAGACTAACGTAAATATCAGGTGACGGCCTTTGGCTCTTATCTCTCTCTCTCCCTCTTCTTCCGATCCAATTGCAATTTTAAATGTGGATCACCAGAAATTAGAATCATGATTCTACGATTTGACTGGTATATTTCATTGGAAGAGAAGATTAATGGAAGCGTACTGAGAATGGCAATAATGAGCAGCGAGATGGAACCAGCAACAGAACTAAACTGGAACCAGAGGGAGAGATTAATGTAAGTTCTATACTGCACAGAGGGGGGTTAATGGTTTTTATTTTGTTCAGAATTTCATAGCATTTGATAATTTCCCTGGAAAATACGTGGAAACTCCCTTTCCTCAACTATTTATCCTCCTTTTGCAGACAGATCGTTATAATTGCGATACAATGGTGTCTGCCTCATTAGAGTGCCACTCCATATCTTAAGTGCTGCGATAAAGATCTAGATCAGTTGAGTAGGCCCCCCCTTATCTGGTAAATGTTTCTCAGAATTGAACAAAAATTCTGGTATTCAACTAATTATAGACTCTTCTCTTCTCTGCCACAGGTCGGTCGTGTAAGCTCTTATATAGAGCCATGTGGAGTGCTTATGAGTAGCAGTCCCCTCCCCACTTGAAGTGATTATTCCGTTGATGGCACCCGCTTGAAAAATAGTTTCCTCCATTAACCCAGAAACCCTTTCATCCAGCAACGACCTCGAGCCTGTGGCAGGGGCAGATGACACATGAGACTCGAACAGGGCTGGGTGGGTCGGGGCGGGACATAGGACAGGGGCGACGGGGACCCATTGGGTATCGAATTAGGCAAACAAATAATTAAATATACGCCCGGCTGGGCAGATGATGTCTTCTTCTTGGGCTCACCATGAATCCAGGGTAAATGTGCCCGATGAGCCCCTTTCCAGGCGGCGTTCCTCCCAGCGGCAGCGGCTCCAGCAGCAGGCGGGCCCGGTCTCTCTCCACAGTCTCCGCAGAGGGTACGATATTGCAGGGGAAGAGGGGGGACAGCGATATGTTGGATTCTCAGCGAGGGGGCGCGGGCGGCCGGAAATGTATATTTTGGTTAATTTGCACAAAACACAGCTGGAAAGCGAAGAGATGACGTAGGTGAGAGCCGAGACGAAGATGATTAAGCAGTTTAAAAACAACAAAAAAAAAAACAACTGGAAACTAAACTAAACAGAACAGAAGAGAGAGAGAGAGAGAGAGAGGGAAACAGAGAGAAGGAGAACCGCCTTCTGGGGAAACAATGCAAAAATATTTTTACATATAAAAATCTTAAGTTTTTTTTTTCTTTTCTTTTGGCAGCGTCAGCGAAAATCAGGAGCAGGGCCAGGAGCAAGGAGCATCTGTACGGTGGGGTGGCCGGTTGTAATGGCAGCGGCGTTGCGACGCGTCGGTGGTGACGGTGACGCCGACGACAAACGGGCATGACGGTGGTGGGTTGTGGTTTCTGGTGCTGCTGCTGCTGCTGCTGACGCTTGGCTTTGCTTTGTTGTTGCTTCCTCCACTGCTGGCTGCCTGCTCTGCCTCTCTTCCTCTTCCGATGCTACTACTGCGCTTTGTGATTCCTTTTCAGAAAATTTGTTGAGCCTCTTGCGCGTCCGTGTCGTGTCTTTTGTCGCCTGTCGGTGGTTTGTATTACGCTACCCCCCCGAAAAAAAAACAATAAAAAAAACTCGTAATAGACTCCCCCGTCTGACCAACGCTGCGAGGAAACTAACCATCAACAGGGCCTTTTCTTCTCTCTCTCTTTTTCTCCTCAATTTTGTGTTTCGATTTCAACGCTGCGCAACTTTTGCTTTGCTGCTGCAACGGCGACGGCAACGGCGACGTCTACGACTTTGACGTTTTCCAAATGAAATTAGTGACACACTTAAGTAATAATTAATTTTCGCACACTTGTTGTAGATTTTCCTTACGTTTTCTTGCTCGTTCTCTCTGTCTCTCTCTCTCTCTCTCTATATTTGTTGGTTTGCTTTTGTTGTTGCTTGTTGGGCGCGTGAAACTCGTCGTCAGACGACCAACAATACGCTGTTTTTTTTTTCCTTCTACTTTTTGTAATGCTCTTCTGTTTTTCTTCTTCTTTTTTGCATACACTTTGCGCACACACACACACACTCACATCATCGACATGCACATACACACACACGTACACAAACACGAACACACACACACGCACTATGCTTGCTTGCGTTTTTTATTGCTCTGTGCTGCTGCTGCTTCTGCTGCTACTCGAACGATGGAAATACAATTTTCACTTGCTTTGTGCACTCTCCGCATTGACTTTCACACGCGTATTCCAGCCACACGGGACAGCCACCGTTGCTGTAAGTGTTTTAGCACTATAATTTTAATTAGTTTTGGGCTAAAATGCGTGGTTTTTGTTCGTAATCGCTGCTACAACGAATTTCTCCGCGCAAGAAATATAGGAGAAGCCACCATTTTGTAAAAATATATACTTTAGGCGGTCTGGCAGCGCAAATTGCGCGGGGGTGGCAGCACTATTAATGAAAATGTCCTAAAAATGCCAGCAAAAGTGGCAACGGTGGTATATCGGTTAGCTTTTGGGCGTATGCAGTGCACGGCGGTATTTTGTGGCTATATATAGTTACTATTATTATTAGTTTCAAATATCAATGTTGTTTATATAAAAATGTACCATACGTTCTTTGCCAGAAAGTTGGAAAACAAAAATTTTACATTATTGGGTATACAAAGTGCCATACTCCACAAATAAGTCGTTGGTATGTAGCGAATGTATCTTTACCGTGTAGTTACCATGTAAAAAAGGATATTTAAATTGACTTTCTTAGTTTTAACTTTATTTTGTAAGTAATCCAATAAAATAAATAACTTAAAAGTAACCAATCTTATAGCATATTGATTCATAAATCAATTAAAATTATATGTTCTGTGGTGAGAGTTAGGACTAGCTAGTAGTTTTAAATCGAATATCAAAAATATTTTCAAATATTTCAAAAAAGATTTTCCTCGGTATATTTACGGTAGGTTATGAAAATGAGAGGATATATTTCGGTATATTTCTGAGGGTCAGACGGTATATTTCGTCCATAAATCCGCTGTCATACTGAACAAAACTTGTGATTTTTTAATAACAAAAACAAACGCCCGCCCGCCCACTCCGGTCAACACAGCTGCATTTTAATAAGAAAATTAAACAACTTTAATAAATAAGAGCGTTTGTAACTGGACTGAGAAACGATAAAAAAATATCTCGACTGCAGGACGGGACGTTATTAAAACTCTTATCACTCACAGGCGTCGCCTGGTTTCATTCATTGGAACGCGCCTTTCAGTTTAATTCAATTTGTGATCTGAAAAGACACAAACCACAACTCGCGACAGACAATCAGCAGGCATTTAGCAGAGCAACAAAATGTGCGACGAAGCCGCTGCGGATCATCAAGGTAACTAAACGTTTGTGTTTACTCGGTCTATATTTGCTTAGCCATTAAGTGGCGTGCTCTAAGCCAAAATGCGATTACCCTTAGCGGGCGCCGCTCCGCCCAGCTACGACTTAGCAAAAAGTGCCTTAAAATATCATTAACCAAAGCCGGCAGTGCAGATAACTGCTTCCTAGAGAAGGCTTCTAGAGGGATTTGTGTATTTAATTGAATTTTTCCCAAAAGTTTTGGCTAAAATTAGATCAAGAAGTGGGACAAATGTTCCCATTTGACCTTTTGCTGAATGCATTTTCATGTACTACATTGGTGTGGGCTTGTGTGAGTGCAATAGCTTGTGTGTGTGTGTGTGTCTTGGGGAGCTTCATCCTTGCAAGGCTCATTTGTAAAAGGTAGAGTATTCTCGCTCTCTTTTTGTCACGTGGAATTGGGTATGGTGATTACTGTTAATGGGAATAAATTACATTACCTTGCATAAATATACCTTTCTTCCTTGTTGCTCGTTGACATGTTTATCTCTTCTTCCTTTCTGTATTCTCCTGGAACACTTTTCTCCCCCAGCTCCTCTTGTCACATTCATATACACTTCCGCTTTCTATCCTCCTCTCACCCCGCTTTCACTCACCCCGCTACGAGGTAACACAATCGACACAATCCTTGATAGCCACTTACTTCTCCGCCTACCAGAAGATAGTTAGAAGAAAAGAAAGGGTATTTACCAGTTGACTAGTGATTCTTCGGAGAATAATTGGTACAAACTGGTATAAATTTCAACATTTCTTGTTGAAATTGACGCATTTATCTTTATCTTTCTCTCTCTTTCTCCCTCTATCCTCTGCCGCTCTTGTTCGCTCTGGCCTGCAACGTTCATTGTTGTTCTTTGGCCGTTTTCCTGCTTTTCTGTCGCAATATTAAAACTAATATTTGTTCATGGTCAAACCTAAGCCAATTTCCATGTGCCCCCCCTGCTTTTCCTACTACCCCATAATGCTAAATTCATGACATTTACAGGCGGAATCGATGATTTTGTTCCTCTATTCGCCGCAATTCGCGTGACTTGGTGTGGGACGCCGTTGCCCCCCCCCTTATCGGTTTGAGGCACAAAGCCCTGGCTTAAACATTTGATGGAAGCATTCTTAAATTGTCGTAGATTAGTTTTTATTTATGATTACCGCACCGCACCCCCGCTGCCAGGCAAAAGTTAATGAATTGTCCGTCTGCCATATAAATAATTTTTCTTTTGCTTTTTATACACTTTCATCAATTACGGTTTATCGCACTCTGTTGGACAGTTTGAAGTGCTCTCTGTGGGAGAGAGGTAGGCAGGCAGGGCGGTGTGGGGGAGGGCACTATTGAATTTATTGCGCAAGTAAAGTAACTGTAAATTGACTGAGGCAGTGAAGAGCGTAATGTAATTTGTTCTCTTTCGACTAAGCAGGATCTCAAGTTGTCGGCTCTCTTAACGCTGTCAATGGCATTGGATTGTGAGAGTAGCATTACATTTTCTCTCTCTCACTAACTGTGTTCTCTTTCGGTTGAGTGCATGCCGGATTAGGTACTGACTAAACGACGCAGCAACTGCTTGAGTCGAGTGGAGTAGAGTGTTCAAAAGTCTCCAAGTTTCTCTTTCATTGCTGCTACCTCACACAAATTGGACATGAGTTAGCACTTGCTATCATTTGGCTGACATCGTAACACGAACAATCCTAATTATCAATTCATTTAGCGCCCGCCCACCCAGAGATTACACTTTCAACGTCACCAGTGCAGTTCCCACACCCCCTCAACCCCCGCGCCCTGGGCCAGTGGGTTAATTAAATTGTTTGCATAGACACGGACACCGAACGCTAGCAGTGGTTTTTCGTTGTTCATTGTTTTGTATTATTTTTGTTTTTGTTTTTATTGCCTTTGCTATAAAGTGATATGCAATTGTATAATGCACATGAGTTGGGCTATTTATAGCCTCCTGGGCCCGAGAACGTTGTTTGGCCCCGCTTGAGGGGGAGCAACCACACTCCCCCCCGCCCGCTGGGCCAACCACGAGGTGTTTCTGTGATTGCCCGTTGGGCTGACACGACACCTTTTACAATTGTTTTGGTTTTTAAATTTCGAGCACATAGAAAAAAATTCTGTTATGCAGGTTTTGTGCAACCCTTCCCTTGCCGGCAATGCCTTGGCAATATTTTGCTTGGCACGTACCACAACACAAAATGTACATATGCCTTTTTATGGCATCCCCCCCACATGTCCGTCATGGGGTATGGCTGTTGCGGGGTGGCAAAGCTGAATTAGTTATGAAAGACCGGTGACAAAAAACTGGACACAGATCTCAGTCTTTGGATTTGCATATGGAACCTACGATTGGTAGGGCAGGTAGAACGCAGATCGGTGGATATATTATTCACTATTCAATACACGAACTCAAGACAATCATTTAGAATCTGTTTTGAGTAAACGAACCAATTGAAATTGAAATCAATTGATTGACAATCTCTCAGACAGACAGCAGACCATTTGTCTACATACATATACATATAGAGAAATATGGCAGAAAGAGCTAGCCCAAAATTTCATCTATTCAAATTTGTATCTCTAACAATACCCATTTGAGATATTCATTAATGATTAATCAATGCTGATTGGGGGGCACGTGAGAGAGTAAGTGACTTCCTCCTAACCTCCCCATCTCTCCATACAGATTGCTGTGTCTGTGTGTTTGCGTGTGGCAATGCCTGAAGCGTGACTCTAAATGAAATTTATAAAAAGAACAACAATCCTCGCGACACTTGGGAGAGGTCGCTTGGAAGGGGGATACCGAGTGGTGTGGGGTGGTGTGGGGTGGTGGGGGTGGGGTACCACTTGCTTGGATGAATCGACATTGAAAGGTCTCGGGTCTCTGGTGTCGAGTCTCGGGTCGCTACCTTTTCTTTGTTAAATCAGATTAAGTTGGATTACAATAAATTGCTTACATCCAGCGAATGAAGTACCGGAAAATTGTTTCAATTTTACATGATACAGCATTAAGCGGACACAAAAAGTGAAAACCAAAAAAAATTAAACATAAATGTTTATTGTCAACATTTCCTGCAAATGAAATGACTTTCTGCTGAGCGGGCGGGCGATCAGCCAAAAACAAATAGCGGCACAAAGAAGAATCCGAAAAAGATCAGAAATTTAACCAGATATTTAATTCGTGGAATGACAACAGAATGAAAAATATCTGAAGGTTTTTTTCGGCTTACTACAGTGCGCAGCGAAAGTAAAATACAAGCTAAAGACGGAAATAGAATGATTGAGTCAGACATTTCAGTCGCGGAGACTGGAAGAACTTATAGTTTTAATTTTGTTGGCATTAATTGATCAGATCAGATTTTGTATGGCTATTCGAATAGAATAATCTCATGAAACGCACTGTTCGATGGCTCCCACAATTGTGTGGAAATGTTGCTCCCAAAATAACAAACTTTCCAACAAAATTCTGTGAGTGCCAAGCGAAAAAGACGAAATAGTCTATTTATAAGACAGAAAAAAATACTTTTGTCGTGGCCCGTGAAATATGTATCACCGCTGAGGCAATAGTCCGTGATTAATTGTTCAACTATTTAGCTCTTCCCACATTGCTATGGAACTATGGATTTCTGGTTATACATACATGGACGAAATGCCCGATTAGGAGCCCGTTAAGCTGTCAAGTTTTTATTGCTGCATAAACATTTACCAGCGATTTGTTAATTGCATTTGCAAGCAGCCACTTTATGGCGCTCTGTATAAATACACAATATTTGTACTGCACTGCACGCCTGTACGCAGCAGTATATGGAAACTGGCAGTACGTCTAAATAATGGATCATCTGATGCCAGTCGAACGTGATGGGAACACTCAATGAAAGAAGGTTGTTAAAAGAAAAGGTGCTCAACAATTTTCTGGCTGTTAAAATGATTCTAGGGAGTGCTGTATGAGGCTTCTGTTAACATTATTTATTCCCGCTTTCGGTGGCAAAAAGCCCTCTCTCTTCTCTAGTCTCTTGAATTCTCCACTCTATGCCTACTAGTGCCTCTACAGATTATTCATTCTTCTGCACTACATCCAATTGGCGCGATTAATTGTGTTGATCAATTAAAATCCAAGCCATTTCTTTCGTATTTATTCAAAAATTCAATTTCACAATCGCTGGAATGTCAGCACGAAAAATGTGAAGCAGCAAGACACAAAGTGCAGGCCTGGTTTCCTCCCGCCCCCGATTGACCTAATTTAAGTGCGATTTAAGCCCAAAGGCAGTGAGGAAGTGAGGAGCGGGTCGTGGACGCGTTTAATTAGGGGGTTACACGCAATTTTCTCCTCAACTGCCGTGGGCGGGTGGTCGTGGGTAGGGCAGGAGAAGTTTACTTGAGACGCGCCACTGTTTATTTTACTCAGAATACTTTGTGTGTGCTTATTCCACCTGACTCGCCCCTCCTCTCCACTGGCTAGGGGGTTTCGTGTTGTGTCCCTCCCCACTGCTGTGCTGTGGCGTCTTACTTCCGGTAAAGTGTGCACAATTTTTAATTCGTGAGTCCAATCTGCTTGTTTAACAAATGGGATTTTAATTTTCAATTAAGTTTTGTTTACACTTACAAGCCGCAAATATGCGGCACGTAGTCGGAACAGCTGTCACGGAACAGTGCCCACAGTCGCTGCGGATCTTAGATGATCTTGTTACAGTACTAGGCACATGGCCAGACTCTCTACCACTCTACCACACAAATTTCTAATTGATATTCGATTTTGCGTTGCTCTCTTTCCAGATCATCATGTACACTTTGATGCGGCCACGGTGAAGGATGGCTTTGAGTCGGACAGCTGTGTGACATATCAGCGCTCGGGCGACACGATCGCTGTGAGTCTGGGCTTTCTGCAGATCAGCCATCGCTATCTGATCGATCTGAAGCTGCCGACAACGGTGTTCGGCGATACGGGTGCGCCGGGCAGCAAGTTTGTGCCGGTTGTAAGCGCCACACCAAATCTGCATTGCCGGATAACGGAGTTCGCTGGCACCAAGCACGACGAGCATGACTTTTTCGAGATGAAAATCGAGTTCTTCGCCTACAAGGAGAAGCTGCTGCGTGAGGTGCTGCACATTGTCAGCGCGAGCAACGCCAAGGAGCTGCTGCAGCTGGTGATTGCCGCTCGGGTGCTGGGCAAGGGCAAGGGCACGCCCATGCTGCGCACGGGCATCCATTGCATTGGCGTGGAGCGGGACGATGACGAGTCGGAGGCCTCGGACTTTGCCGGCTTCGACAACAGGCCCTAAAGCGGGAGTGGGAGCCCAGGACAGGCTTGCAACTCGCCCCAGCCGCAATTTGTTTTTGCGTAGTTAATTGAAGATATTTACATAGTTCTTAAGTAAACGAAACGAAGCAAGAAATAACTCTAAAATTAATATGATCTAACTCTAAGTCTTGCCTACTGCATGGGTAAACAACCAACCTACCAATCAATCCAATCCAATCCAATCCAATCGTGTGTGAAACTCACAGAGCATTTTGCATTTAGATTTAGATTTCGGTTTCAATTTCTGTTTGTTTGTACTTAAAGTTTTTTGTAAATTACACCGCGAGTCCCGGTCCCGGTCCCGGTCCCGCGACGTGACCAATGTCAGTCCACTGGCAGCGGTGGCGATGACTCGTACGTGGCCTCATTTGTAACCGCGTTATAACTCCTTTGCCAGGAACTTGACTGCGGCAATGCGCTTACAGCATTCAGCTCGGTATTTTTGTCCACGAAAGTAAATCAAGATATAAACTAGATTCTCGAATGTATTTGCATGCGAATGTTCATGGATGTGTAAACTTAAATCTGAACTGAACACTCATGGCTACAGTGCGTATCAAAGCTATACGACTATAACGAATACGTAACTTATGTACGATGTAGAAACGAGTACACATGTAGGGCTGAGATGCCATTCATTTGGTGTATCATTAGAGTAATTATAGAGGAATACAAAAAAAAAAAACGAACTTGGCAATGTTCTGTCTGTAAATCTCTCAACTGTCTGCTAGCTTTGAAACGCACTGTAAATGTTTCACATTTAATCATACGTTTTGTTGCACTTCCCCTCCCCCACCACAAAATGTATTTTAATGAATGTCTCAATCAATGGAGCAATTAAACTTCAAACAGACCAAGACCAACCGCAAGAATTTTCCAGAATGTGTATAGGCATAAATTTTAACTACAACAAGGACAACTCGTGGTGCTCCTCTTCAATTAAAATCAGTCTGCACTAAACCAAGAACTTGTTAACTTATTAATCGATACAATTAGGCCAAAAGTATCCCTACTATATACATATGTACTTGTATTTGGCAATGGGCCTTTTGATAAACTTTTCAAGTTAATAACATTTTTTGCACCTTCGAATGTGTATAGTGAGGGCGCACCCCGGTGTCAGTCGGCAATTAGATTTTGTAAATTCCAATCTACACGAATCCCAATTTAAAAAGGGAGCTCAATTCTGTACTAAGTATTTACAACATATGTGTGTGTGTGTGTGTATGTGCGCTTTGGCCAGCAAATAAAACAGTCGTTGAGAACCCCCCCTCCCCCATCGAATATTAAATTAATTGTTTAAATAAACCAAAAGCCAGCCTGATCAAGGGCTCTTTGACATCCAAAGAGCCGGAATCGAAACGATTACCATTACCGCCTCAAATGATGAACCGATCTGCCATCTAATCAACAGAACGTGTCGCACCGACTATATTATTTACAGCCAGAGAATCCGCGCGTACGCCACGCCCATTCTATCGAACACCATGTTACAGAGTGCACTCTAGGTGAAGGTAAGTGCACTTATTAAATGGTCCTCCACTCATCAGTTTAATCTCTTACAGATGCTGTCGCAGTACTTCGTTCGGTCTGGCCATCAGCGAACGGATGGTTAACTGTATTCCAGCAGGATTTTGCGAGTTCCATCCTCGCCGCTCGATCGAAACTGTCACCAGATGTACCGACATGAACGATCATGTAGGAACTTTGCTGCCTCACATTTCAGCTGCTCTTCGTATAGCTGACGCAATGAACTGTGGGAATAGCTGGAGCAGACCTTCAAATAGGCAGAGATGGCGGCAAACACCGCGTGCATGTGCTTGAGTCCCCCGTGGATGAGGCCAATTGTCACTTGCTCGTGGAACGCCGAACGGAATGCGTTGCGTTAATCGAACTTGGTTGAATGGCCCCATATCTGTATTTTTCACTTATGCATGTCATAAATTCTGAGGTTTGTTTACAGAAGTCTGCCAAGACAATCCGTCGGCTCGAAATGTTCCCAATACTCCTTCCCTCACACAAACGATCGTGGTGGGGGGGGGGTGATAGGAGTGGTGGTTCAGCACTCATGCGGCAACCATCCACAATATAAACAAATCGAAGACAGAGAGAGAGAGAGAGAGAAACAGAGGGCGAAACTGGCGTAGAGACAAGCGCGTAGTCAGGCCCAGACAAAGGCAGAGAAACCAAGGGGACTATGGGCATGGGTATGGCACGATCAGAGGTGCGCCTCAATCGAACACGATTGCTGCTCTTGAGCTTTCATTCAATTTCTGCTAACTGGACTGGCCGGAACGTACAATTTTTAATTAAATCAAATATTTCGCAAAGCGACAAAGTGGTAGAGATGATCGCACTAGACAGCAAATGCAAAATATTATTACTTATTTTGTTTAACGTATTTGTGATCGGGATTCTTGTATACGTTTGTTATCGGAATCATTTGAATAATTGAACCCTTGGCAAAAGTAGGTGCTGTACATGTGTATGCACATATACAATAATTGAAGTGGCTCGAAAACTTATTCAATTGTGTGCATTTCAGTGGATGATGAACGGGGACGTGGACTTCGCTGGACTTATACTAACATTTATGTACATTCGCTCGGATATGAATAACAAATATTAATAAATAAACACACTGTACGAGTATTTGTATTTTGATCCAGTTTGATCCAAGTCAAATTACTTTCTGAGTAATGTACTTGTGGCTGCCCTGCCTGAGTGATTTCGTTTGAGTGATTTTGACTTGCAGGTGTTGGCGGTGCCTAAAAAGTCTTTGTCTAGAGCGCAGATTGCAGATTGACTTGACAGCATGTCTATTTATAAAGGGTGAATCATTTGAATGCAGAAAAGCGGGGGGTTGGCGGGGAGTTGGCTTTCGAATAGTTGCGCTTCTGCCTGGGTTCCGCGCGTAATAGGCCTCGGCTTGGTGTCGCATGGGCCACTTGATGGTGCAGTCATTGCATAGCAACGTCCAGGCTAGAAAAGTACCTACAAACCTATGTACATACTGTACGCAAATAGGTACATATGCGCATGGCGAGTCACTGGCTGGCTGGCTGGCCTTTTTAACGTTAATTAAAATGCATTAATTTATTGCTGGGCGATGCGCGTGCAATAATAACCATTTAATAAAAATGCTCAATCAATGACCGCGTCCCATTTCTGTGCGACGAAATTGCGGGTGAAAAAATATTTGCTTAATTAAAGTAATTATGGTTTCATATTTCATGCGGCGCCGACCTGTAGCTGTGAAAATGTGATGCGTGCGGGGGGAGCGGGGATTTGGTAATTACATTTTGTCATAAATTTAACATTTATTTTAAAATGTCATTAAGTACTTAATAGGCGGTCTCTCTCTTACACGGGCAGGCCACTACGATGCTGCATTGTGTGGCTGTCTCTTACTGGCGAGCATTGCCGAAAGACAAACAAATATATATACATATGTATATATATATATATGTATGTATGTACATATGTATGTATGTATGTAAGTTAACAAGTTAAGAACAAGGAACGTCTGGGTCTGAGTTCTAAGCGAAATTACACAATACACAGCAGGAGCAGCAGCAGCAGCAGCAGATGACATCATCATCGAGCTGATCCCATATTATGATCGACAATGTCTCGTCAGTGGAGTCGACAGTACGACAGTCGCCAGAGCAATTGGTTACAAGCCTGCACTCAGGGCGCTGTAGAGGGCTCCGCCATGATTTCATTGGCCACCGACATCGCCTGACATCGCCGGCAGCCGCCACCCGCCACCCGCCACCCTCAGCCGCAGCGGGGCAGGTACGCCATGGAACAAAAGGAAAAAATAACAAAACAAGAATGCAAAAGAAGCATGAAGAGACTGCTGAGCATCAGAGTGCCAACGAGAGCTGATTCTCTCTGACAACGAGCAATGAGAGAAAGCATGGAATGAGCGAGAGCTTCAGCCGTTTGCTCATTGCATTTGTATCGCTCTGTTTACTCAGTTCAATAATGCAATCACGCCGTGTACAGTTTAGTAGTAAAGTGGAGAATAATTGAGTGAAAGGTGAGTGGACGACAAGTACCAACTCGAACTGGCAGCCCGTGGATATTCCATGGCGTAATCGATCTCAAATTCTAATATTTGAGATATTTTGAAATGACTTTTGATGCTTTCTTCTTAAGATTGCAAATATCTGAGCATGGCTACAATACCCACCTCTGAGAGGGAATACGAGTGCGATGTGGGAATGTGCAATGTGACAAGGGAAACCAGCAGCGAAATGAATAATGTAAATACGCCAAGTGTACAAAGTTTTAATTGTTATCATGTTTTGTTTGAGCGTTACTCTCCCTCCCTACCTCCCTCCCTCCCTCCCACTTCCCAGCACTCCTTCTGTATCTCTAATCTGTCCCCGCTCCTTCGTTCTTATTCAAAATGTATCCATTTACGCTTGGCCAAGTTTTAGGTTGCGCATACGACACGTTGGACTCGAATTGTGTCGTGTCTGGCGTTGGCTGGGTGGCTTGCGGCTGCCTCAAAGTTTCCATTTTGCATATGTGCCTGCAGGCGCCACTTGCATTCCGAAGCAGCCACTCTCCTTTTGCTGCTTGCCTACACCACCCCTTGGAATTGTCACAGTTTAATCCAAATTGTATTCTTAATTCAGGCACTTTTATCTGGGGATTTGATGCAAGATCGAGTGCAAGCTTTTCTTGCAACATTTTTAGTTTATTTCACAGTTCTCCCTCCCCTCGCCAACCATCCTTTGCATGGATATTTCTGGCTCTTAATGGGGGTTTTAGAATTTAAGAGTTTAAGAATGAGTTCAATATTTTCTCCTTTCCCAAAATGTGGGCTTTATTTCCCTCGACTCGGCTGCAATTTTCCCATCACTGATGTATCAATAATTTGTAATATTTCCAGTGGTATTGCATCATTTATTAGTGGCTTAAATTTAAATGTTTATTTTCCCTTTGAACATTTAAGGCATTTATTGGCATTAAAGTTTAAGCATATTTCACCTTTGCAGTTGATTTGCATAAATATTTCAGCTTGTTTAGTTTTTCGAACGGAATTTGACTTTTACCAAGAAAATCTTTGGATTCTGTGGCTTTTGCCGTATTTATTTGGCACAAATTTTAAGTGATTTATGCTGGCCACAATTGGCTCTGGCTCTGGCCTGGCTCTGGCCTCTCTCTCTCTCCTACTATAACTGCACGCACAGCGCTATGAAAAATTCACACAAATATTCAAATGCAACAAAAATATACATATGGATATATACATACATAAATATGTATATGTATTTGTATGTATGTGCATCTGGGGGATGGGTATCTATATCTGTATCTGTATCTTGGGGCATGCATATTTATTTGCCAACATTTACTTATGCTGCATTTGAAGCAATTTTTGTTTGCTGGACTCAAATGCAGATCTAAAGTGTCCAGCTGTCTGTCTGTCTGTCTGTCTGTGTGTTGTGTTGTGTGTGTGTGTGTGCCTGCCACACAAAGTTGCAGGCTATAGATTTTCCAGCAAATTGTGTTGCCATAAGGATGCACATGATACAATATACTCGTTTATGTACACACACACACACATACAGAACACACCCAAACAGAACACTTGAAAGTTTTTGGGGCCTCTGCTTACTTGAGCACTTATTTATTTGATAATAATAATTTTGTGTGTTTCTCTTCAGATGCTAACCATTTGTGGAACCGTAGAGAGCAGAACAGAGCAGAGCAGAGCAGAGCAGCCAACTCTTTTATCTAAATAAATAATCAAAATGTCATAACAAATGGTAGTAGGTACTACTGGTAGTAGTCGTATCTCATCTGTCCGGCATGTATCGGGCATGTATCGGACATGTTTATGTAAATTCTATTTTGCCACTTGCCTCGTTAGTTGCTTAAGGCCACAGCTCGCTGGCTCTGGCCTGCTCCTGATTACGCACTCGGCCATCAAGCATCGTGCCACAGCTCGGCTGGGCTCATCTCCCCCCGGATGATGCATCAGTGCAATATAAATATTTTACATAGATTTTACATAGCTGATTGAAGTCCGTGTGCATATGCTAAACCCATCTGCCGGGCCATCTGCCTGCTCCAACTACTCGCATGGCTCTCAATACTGTGAAATTATCCCTTGCATGGCAATCATATCATATCAAATTTAAAGTGCCCTTTCCCCCTCCCCCTCCCCAACCCACACCTCATACGGCACAGTGGGCTGCAATTGTTGGCTGGATTTGGCAGGCCTTCAAATAGAAGGAGGACTCGAAAAAAAAAAGTATCATTTCATTTGGTTTGCTATGTGGCAGGCACTTTAATGTTTTGATTCATAAATGCTTCATTTAAATGTTGCCTCTGACTCTGAATTTTGGTGCCGATTTGCAGCGATGTTTGCAGAACGAATGCAGAAGTACCTGCGGTGAGGCCATCACTTGTCGTTGAAAATCTTCCAACTAGTCCCATTGTAGCGGCCCATGGCGCACGGCGATCAGAAATACCGAGCTATGCTAATGTGGCGCTCTGGCTCGGCATCATTTGCATTTGCCATTTGCCATTTGCGTTTGCAAGGCGTAAGCCTAATTGAACCAGCAGCTGTGATTGGAATGGGGTCCGCTTCTCAAGTGGGTGCATATGTAGGCAGGGGATGGCTGGAGTTGAGTTTGACCTACCGACCCCACCAGCACCAGCACCAGCGCCGCTTCGGGTGGCTGTGGGTAAGTGCTGCTGGCGGTGGAGCAATTAATAGCTAATTTAGAGCTCGATGTTAAAAAGGCAACATTATTTATGTTTATTTGTTTATTGCTTGCGGGTCGTTTGCTCCTCCCCCCGCTCACTCTCCTCTCTTCACCTGATGAAATTAACACCCTGACCCCCGCACCACCACCCACCCAACATGCCACATTCCGCATTCCACACACCTCACACCCTTAGCCTACATATGCCCAGACTGCCCAGACCCTTGAGCTGCACACACACACACACACACACATGCGAAGCAAAGCCGCTGGCAGCATTTAGCTGCAATAGACAGCCATTTTGTGGCGTTGCCTCGGCGATAAAGTAATAGCTGCTATTTGGGTTTATGACACACACCCACACACACACACACACACACACATACACATAGAAGCTCTACATGTGTTTTTGGAAAATTTCTATGCTTCCGGCAGGACACAGACATAGACATAGACAGTCGCTGGGCTTTGTACTCTTGCAGGCAAGACAGAAGCCGAAACAGAAGCCAAAGGCAAAGGGAAAGCTGCAGAACAGAGGTGAGTGGGTGGTGAGAGCTGGGAATGCGGCCAGAGGGGAGTTTGGAAGCTTGTGTCGTGAGGAGCGGCGTCATTTTGTCTGCGGTTAGATGCGCGTACGTTTTCATGTTTTGTTCGCATTTCTTTTTTGTTTGTTTTTCCCTCTCCCCAACCATCACTTTTTGTATACCCATTAAGCGTAGGTCTCGAGGATATATTGGGCTTCATGTCAGGCGGAGAGGAGCGTCTCATGAAAGAGTCTCTCATGTTCTTCTCTTCGTCTTCTTCTGTCTGTGAGATCTCTCGTAAACCAAACGAGAATAAATATATTAATGTGCAAATATTAGTTGTTAAATTATTGCATTATCTACCCTGTAGGTACATAGATGTATTCCTCTTTTTGTGGATGGCAACGGCTGCTTTGCTTAAGTTTTTATCTTATTTTCTTTTAGCATCAGAATTGCATAACGAATAGCTTTGAAGGGTATCTTTATGTTCGATAATCATCTATTTAGGTGCCAGCTGTGGTTATTATTATTTTTTTTTTGGTTTTTGCACGCTTACAGCGGTGTTTTTTTCGTGTTGGCTTTCGGCTGTTGCGCTGCCGTGTGCTCCCCGTGCGGTGTTTGCCGCTGTTGCGGTTGCAGCACGTCTGAACGTGTTTATGGCGCGCATATCCGCAAATATGCAATCAGACTATAATCTACTTAATGTCTTTTTCACCAGCCACAGCAGCAACAGCAGCAGCAGTAGCGGCAGCAGCAGGAATAACAACAACAGCAGCAGCAGCAGCTAGGGGCAGTGGGTGGCTGGGTCCGGTGTACTCGTAAAAAATGCGCATTGTGAATGAAGTAATGCAGTTTGCCATATTCCCGGACGGACCCAATGAGTGTGTACGTGTGTGTGTGCGTGTGTGAGTGCTGGTACGCGTACGATACGGTAACGGTACATTAACTGAAATTAGGCTGTCACTTGGTAAGCATTTTCGCATTAGCTTCAACGAAAATTGGTTAATATTTACAAAATCTCGTGTTGCTCCTTACGTTTTTATCCCAGCAATATTCTTATTTTTTTCATAATAATTTTTTGTTGCCTACTTTTTGCGGCCAGCTATGCGTGCCCATCTCTATGCGTGCCTATCACTGGCCCCAAAAAGTAGGCAACAAAAAATAATCATGAAGTTATCGGAAAGCGGAAATGTGACTACGCCAAGTGCATACACCAACTGAGTGTCCTGCAACAAGGTCTATGGCTGGAGGAAGGGGTGAAAAATTAGTGCAAATTTAATGTACTCAAAGAAAAAAACATTTGTATCCATATTTGAGGATTATATGCATCAAAATATATGTATGCCTTAATCGTGTGGCCTATAGCTAATATGGCTGCCACAGCATATTCCCAATATTTTGCATCAGAATCACAGGATTCCTAACCACTCATAAACATTGATTAAAGCCAATTCTTTGTACAGAATCTAGGGGAATTTTCAGCCACTTTGATCTACTTAAATTCCGTTGCTTGTGTATGTCTCTTCTTATGCTCCCCACCAACATTTTCGTATCTGCTGCTTAGGTTCCCTCGTTTGGCTTGAATTTGCACAACCTTTTAGCTTATTTTAAAGACGAGAACATAACACAAAAGGCCTGCGGGACAACAGCACCAACTGCAAAATGGCCAAAAACAAAAAAAAGGCCACTGGCAAAGTATTTTGCCGTAGACAACATTAGATATTGTTTTGAGCTGTGCAGACATGGACGTTCATTTGTATGAGTATGGGGTATACCCTTACCAAAAGGGGTATTCTCATACAGATCAGAGGTTTGCCGATAGATTGATCGAGGCACTATATGGCGCCCCAACTATAACAAATTTCTGGCTTAAATGTTGCACAAATTCTACACTGAAAAAATGGCATAATATATAGCTGCTAGAGTATATAAAGCTTCGGTGCCCAAAAGTAGCCATTTCTATATCTTGTTTTAGTTTTAGTTTTAGATGCTGCTGTTGCCGCTTTCTGTTGCCGCTTTCTGTAGCCTGGTAGCCGGTGTCTCTCTCGCTGTCTCTGTTTCGGTGCCGTTTCTGCCTCTGTATCTGTTTCTGTTTCGGTTTCTGTTTTTGTTGGCTTGGCCCGACGACGACGACGACTGCTTGGAGTCCCGGCCAGAGCTCTGTCTCCGACTTGCTTGTTATTGTTTAGCTTGGCGCACAATGCGGCCATAAAAAGCCTGCCCCGCCTTCGCCTTCGCCACCGCCGCAGCCGCCTCCTGTCCGAGTCGAGTCGCATGGAACTGCGAGGGACGGAGGGGGGCAACAAAAGGCGCCCGCACCGAACAACAATTGAAACAATAAAACGGCTTTAAGGCCGCACTGCACTCCGCACTCCGCCCGCCGCCTGGAAGCAACCACAGAGTGGAGTTGATAAAAGCAATTATAGAGTCACAGAGTCCTGGTGCTGACAGGCAGCAGCTTTGGACTGAATTTTACTTAAACTTTAAATCGAAATCGAAGCTATTACATACGCGCGGAGCGGAGTGAGACACCTTTTGCTCTTTTATTTGGGGTTGAACAGTCCCTTGACGGTCTCGTCGGAGGTGTCGATGAGCAGCTTGTAGTAGCCGGCGCGCCGCAGGTGTCGCTCATCATCCTCGGCCACATGGTAGATATCCTCGACGGGCAGCATAATCTCCGACTCGTTGGGCAGGATGAGTTTGCGTGCGTCCTTGCGGAAGACGGCCACCGCCTTGGCCATGCTGCCATGGGCGCGTGCATAGTGACGCAGGGAGAGGAACTTCCGGCGGGCGGACAGCCGGCTCTGGATGCGGTCAAGGCGTGCAATCAGTCGCAGTAGAATGTAGCGGGCGTAGCGATCCTTGATCTCCAGCAGCGTCAGCTCGCTATCCTCTCGCTCCATGGCCGGCCGCAGATAGACGCTCAGCAGAATGAACACGAAGATGGCATTGATCAGGAATATGCAGAGGAGCAGCGACAGCTGAAAGCCGTCGATCTCCTGCGCAAAGGTCTCCGCCATGTCCTTCCAGTACATCAGATCGAAGCTGTGGATGCGCAGCTGGTAGTGCAGATAGGCCGTCACCACGGCCCCCACACTGCTGTAGATGGCCACGCACGGGTAATTGTTGTACAGAAAATTAACGCAATGTCGCCAAAGCCATTTGCAGAGATTCATACTGCCTGCCACTCAGAGGAAATCGACGGATTTAAACTATCGAACTTTCGTTGCTTTCGTTGAATTTTGAACTTGGTTTTCCGAAAATAGATTGAGTCGAGCTCGCTCTGAGTGTTTCCGTTTGGGTTGCTCAGATTTCGTATAAGAGTTTGCCGCCCCTGCAACTGGATGATGTCGAACTGGTTGCGACCCTCCACCTCGCTGTGGATGTCGAACTTGTTTGTGGCTGCAAGCGCAGGACAGGTTTGAGCCTTTTTCCATCAGTCCCAGTGCCAGTGCCAGTGCCAGTCCCAGTTTTTGTGTTCTTTGAGTATTTTGAGTCTTGTATTTGTCCCCTGCAACCCAGGACATGTTCGTTTGCGACCTGAAGCCGCCCACAGCTGCAACTGCAACATGGTTTTGGTGTTGGCTATGCCTCGTCGTGGCCTCTTAATGGGGCGTGCTGCTGTTCCCCCTTCCCCCATTTCTGTGCCGAAAATATTCCACTTCTTGTTCAGCGACAATATTCCGCTATCTTTGCGCCAACTTTTCCTGGCACCCCCAACCTCACCCCACCCACAAACCAAGCCCGCCCCACCCGCGGACCGACCGATCCGAGACGTTGATAAGCCATAAGCAAGCAGTGAAAAGGGGAAGAGGGGAAAAGGGGAAACAAACAAAAAAAATCATCATAGCATTTCGAGCGCAATGCAATTTTGTTCTCCCATTTTGCAATGTGTTCTTTTTTTTTTTTTTGGTTGATTTTTTGGCTTGCTTTTTCGACGCTTTTCGCTCTTCGCTTTTTCGCTTCTCGTTTTGCACTTATTATTGTCTTTTGGCGCTGGACTGACTTTTTGTGGGGCCCGGACGAAGTGCATGCAAAACTGCATTTTGTAGACAAGCCGAAAACCGAAAACTGCCAGCCAAAACGGAAATATTCAAAAATTGTTCTTGTTGCTGGCAGAAAAAGGGGTTGGGAAGGTGGTGAGTGGGAGTGTGGTGCGCGCTAATAAAAACGTAAAATTTAATGGTAACGGAAGGCACTAAAAAACAGGCTCACCGACAGGCTCCCCCCCCCCCCCCCCCCAAGTCGCTGGGTCGCTGCTTGGGTCCCCGGTGCTTGCGTCCTCCGCGTCGTAGTGGCAGTGGCAAAGGCAGTGGCTCTTTCGCTGTGTGAGTAGTGGCGCTGGCGATAACCAAGCAACGAACCACAACCGCACAAGGGGGACAGTGGGAGCAGTGGGAGTGGCAACCAGTCGATGGGCAAAACTGTAACTACGCCAACCGACGCCGCCGACGCTGCCGATGCCGCCGACGCAGTGGAGCGCCCATCCGTGCACGTCAAACGCAGACAACTTGAAAAATGTAGAGACAGAGCCGCAGTATAGTTGAAACACGCCAAAAAATATGCAAAAGTAAAATAAAACAGACACACGGACCCAGAACCCGTACACAGACACGGACACGGACAGAGGGCACGTAGAGGGACAGGAACAGGAACAGGAACAGGGACAGGGGGATACACGGACAAACGCATTTGGCCGTTGCGGAGCAGTTCGACATTCGAGGGTCGAGGCTGGCTTCGTGGTTCGACATTTGCCGTTAAAGGTTTTTCGTTGTTGCTGTTTATACGCCGATACCCCGCAGCACTGTGGACACCCAGGGGTAGTATGGGTCCCCAGGGGTAGTTGCTGCCCCACACAAAAATCCCATTTAATGGGCCAGCACACCAGACTATTTATTAGAGCCTAAACGATGCATTGTGTAATTATTTCATAGAATAAATACACAAATTATACGTGTAGTCTTATTTAATGCTTAAAAACTGTGTCCAAAAATATGTACGAAATACTCCGAATACTCCGAAATGCTACTCAGTATCCACAAGTCGTTCCTGTCCCCCTCCGCCCACCCTTTGGTCTTGCGAAACTTTTATTTTGTTTTGTTATTTGGCAGCGCATTGCACAATATTTTGCAGCAGGCTGTTTTTTTTCGCCCACTTTTTGTTGTTGTTGATGTTGTTGTTGCAGGCTCTATAAAGGGAAAAAGAGGTCCTGACGTTGTCCACTTGACAGGAGCAGGCCAGCTCCTGTTCCTACAAGAAGAGGAGCAGCAGCAGCAGCAACAAAACTGCAGTCGGCTCGAAGTCGAGTTGAAAAGTCAGTTGTCGCAATGTGGCGCTCGTTGGTAGGCGTTGGTGGGAGGGGGTCACAAAGTTATGTGGCTTGGCAGTTGAATTCGGGAGAGGTGTATGTTTGTGTGTGTGTGTGTGTGTGTGTATGAGAGCGTGTGGCAAAGTGGCAAAGGGCCACTAACAGCTAACTGAATGGACAGCAATTTGCGCGGCTAAACGAGTCCACAAAGGCGACCATTGTGGACGCCTTTGCCTTTGCTCTCCATGCAGTAGCCTCTCTCTCTCTCTCTCTCTCTGTGCATGTGCCTGCATGGGTCGGTCGGGGGTGTGGGAGGGGCGACTGCTACTGTAATTAGGTTTGTCGCTGACCAGAGCGTCGCATACCCAGTCGAAAGTCGCGGCAGTCAGCCCCAAAAGTTGCTGTAAATAATTCACAATTGTGCGACGCATTCGATTTTTGCACTCTCTTGCTTTCTCCCGCTCTCCCGCTATCCCTCTCTCCCTCTCTCTCTCTCCGGGAAAAGGAGCTGGGCGGAAATGTTTGCCTGGTTTACAGTGCAGTGCATAAATTTGAAATTGCACGCATACTACCACACGGATAGATACCCCCACACACACACACACACACAGATACTCCTACACCACTCAATGGTGCGTGCATTTCCGCTCTGCCAGTGGTTGGGGGGGTGTGGCAGTGGGTGTCAAATTAGGCCTACTCTACACTACCCCCCCCCACCATAGCACTGTTCCGCTTCTCGCTAAAGTCCGGCAACAAATTTTTCGTAGCCTAACAGCATTTTCAAGTTTTATCGTTACGTGGCGTGGGGCTGTACTGTAGCGGGGTGGGGGGTCTGTGGGTGTCCTTGGCACAGGCATTGTATTATGCTCGGTCTATTGGTCTGTTGGTCTGTCTGTCCGTCTGTCTGCCAGTCGGTATGGCGCACGCACGGAGCTCGCCTCGCCTCGCCTAGCCTTGTCTATTTAGCCAGCCGCCTGCATACAAAATGCACATAAATTGTCATGTTTCAAGAGCGAAAGAGACCAATGGCAGGGCAGGGCAGGGCATGGCAGAGGGAGAGGGAGAGAGAGAGCCTGGCCATGTGCCTAGCATATTTATATTGATTTTCGCGCCTGGGATTGGAACTTTCTGGGGGGTGGGGGTGGGTGGTGCTGGTAGTCCTGCCTTTGGCCACCAGCTTGTTGTTATGTACTTTGGCTTTTCAATTTCGGCTCGTTTTCCTCGTTTGCTCTGCTTCCGCTCTACTCCCTACCTACCACCCACTTGCACACACACACACACACACGCACACTTCGTTTCTTTTTTTCTTTTTTTTTTTTTTTTGGTTGTGTGTGTGTTTTGTGGGTGCACAATAAATTGAGCCAAAATTGCATCAGCAAAATTAACAGTTTCAGTGTACGTTAATAGACTTTTGGCGAGGTCCAGTCACGACCGCAGAATGGGCAGATCTCTGCGGGATTGGGAATGCGCATGGACCTGACCAAGGCTACTTCGGAGTGTGGGTGTGGCAATGGCACTGAGGGGCACTGAGGGGTAATCCGCCCATTAGGCTGGTTCATTTTAATTATGGCCAAAGGAGAGTCTGTTGCTGTTTAAAATGAAATTTCGAGAATCCAATGGGACATCAAATTGCGAGGAGGTGCTGCTGCATTTTTGGGCACTTTTTGGGCACAATTGGATTATGGAATGATGGCACTTGAATATGGATATGGCTGTCAGGGAGATTGTCAGATATCAGAAAAGTTATTTTACCTATTTCTGGAACTATTGCTGGCCATTGAATTCGAAGGAAATGCCATTCAAAATCAGCGATTATCGTCTAGGGATTCTTCACAGGGCTTTGAAGTGTGAAGAGACCGTATCCAACAATTAAAAATACACTCCACATGAAAGCTGGCCATTTGACTGGTAAAAATGTCCGCAACAAGTGTCGGAAAACACCTGTAATTTTGTTAGCTGGGTAACTAAGGATAACTAAGGAAAAAATATGCTTAGACGCAGAAATTGTGCGGCGTGAGAAAAGCCAAACAAACACACTTCACTTCACTTCACTACACTTCCCTTCCCGTGATGATCGCTCATTAATTCGGTTTATGGTGCAAATATTTCGGGGGAGGATATATGTACACATAGGCGAAGCACTCCAAATGTTTGCCAGCTTAGAACTCGAAAGGGAAATATTAATCGTGCCCGTAAACCCACACACATAAAATATATGCACCAGCCATTGTTCTCGATGCATTTTGGCTCATTAGGTCGCTGGGATTTGGCTCTTTTGGCTCTATTTTAGCTCTCTCCCTTCACCCTGCCCGGGCCACTTCCGCCAGTGGCCTGCTACATTTTGCATGGGTAATTAATCTGGCGGGATGCAGTTGATCCCCGTTCTACTTGGGGCCACTGGGGCACATTACAGGGTAAAAGTGTGAGAGTGGGGTGGGGCAGAGGGGAGAGGCGGGTTGCGCTGCTTGGCAATTTCTGAAATTTTAATATGCCAAACGAACTAACAATAAGCAAACCACTTAGTTAGTTCTCACAGCCATGGCTAATTTGCTTTGTTCAGCTGCTGCTGCTGCTGCTGCTGCTACTGCTGCTGCAGCTGGAAAATGGAAATGAAGTTTCCCTTCGGTGCTCGGTTAGAAGCTACACACAGGGAGCAGGGTGCAGGCAGCAGTTAGCAGAGTTGCTGGTGGGGGAAGGGTGCTGTAGCAGGAGTTGAAGTTTTGGTAGCCACTTGAAATATGCAAAATTTGTAATAACCTCAAGAAGGAAGTGCCACGAGATTGAGATTGCGGACGACGGGCAGCAACTGTGGCAGCAACTGTGGCAAAGACTTGGGCAGGGGCAGGGCAACAGCAATGGCAACACACGCAATCGGCAACGTGTCGCATTTGTAGTTGGACATAATTGTTAATTACCCGAAACCATTACCACATTAAAGGCCATAAAATGCAACAATAATTGCTTTATGCCACCTCGTCGAGTCTGGGCAATGCA